ACATTTCACAACCTAAATATTTCTAAGTTTTCTAATATAAATAAAAATAACATCATTATAAGACAACATCGTAAAGTAATTAAAAAATAAATAGGTAAGAGAAAAAAACCAAATGGTCACTATCAAAATGCCCTTACGATGCTGCTGAAAAATGACCGAAATGCTTCTAACAATAAAATTACTAAAATGCCCTCGTAACACGTATTGCACGTACTCGCCACCGTCCAGCTATCGTTGGTGCTCGCTCCAATTAGCTCCGGGCACGTGGAAGGGTCCGTAGGGTAGAGGGAGGCTCGCTCTACCTATATGTTGTGGTGGCTCAAGTTGTTGTTGACGAGAGAAGGGAGATTGGCATCACTAAAGTTTTGGTCGAATCTCCCTCTTCTTCTTTATTCGATTTCGGCGATGATACTTGATTTTAAAGCTCCAAATCCAACCAAAAATGTTCCTACAACCTGTTCCTACGACATGTTAGAGTGTTTATTTAGCCTTAAAATGAGGTAATTTGGCTGAAAAATGATGATTGAAACGGGTTAGGATAAAATTGGTTAAACGGATCGATCAACCTTTCTCCTCTTCAATTTGGTTGATTCTAGTGAGATTTTGCCATGATTTCAAAAGGGAATTGCTTATAGGAGGGTAATGAGTGTTTCTTTGGAGGTGGGAGGACAGATTTGGCTGGAAAACAAAGAATCAAGAATCGTTTGGGTTGTTATCCGGGTTGGGTTCTACGACTTCTCTCCTCAATTTCTCCCTCCTCCGACGTCTTTTTCTTTCCTAACCGAGTTGAGAATGGCGAGATCTAATGGTGGGCTATTGATCGGTGATGGTGGATTGAAGTAATTTCGACTAAAGGACGATCGATTTGAGAGAGGAATGCCAACATGTCTACGGGTTGACCCGTGGGCAATCCGAGTTAGCGACTTCCTTAAGGGCTATTTGTCTTTGTGTTTTTTTTGTTTTTATGTTTTTCCTTTTTTGGGATCCATGTCCTATAAATTTTTTTAGAGAGATGAATAGTAAACTTCTTACATTTTAGTTAGTTTTTTATGTGGGTAGAAGTTGTATTTGCGGTTAGATTGTTTTTGTGATAGGTGAATAATGGAGACTAGATTATTTTGATAGGAGATGGGTGGTGGAGGTTAAGTTTTTTTTTCTTTTTTTTTTGTTTCTTTAGATAGAACGATGAGTGGGAGGCTAGAGCTTTTTGGGATAGGGGAATAATTGCGAAGGCTCTATCAAAATGAAGTGAAAATGGTGTTTATATAGGAATTTTTTAGGATTTTGGATAAAATCAATTTAAGTCCTTCTCCGAATTATTTTTGTCAATTTCAATGTATATGTTATTATTTGTCTCCCATTAACTCCTTAATTGAAGTTGTTTAATCTCTATCTTCTTGATTTCTTTTAATTTTATACCGATAAATTCTCAATCAAGTTTCATTATTTTTATTCTTTTTCAATTACATCCCTAATTAAATGTCACTTGGTACTCGTTTTTCACATATTTTCTATTGGATCCCAAATCATCTCCTCAATTTTTTTTCATTCTTTCCTTCTTCTTCGTTTCTTTGTTTTTTTTTATAAAAAAATTATAAATAGAAAATAATTCTAAGAAATAAAAATATGAAAATTTATAAAAATGCTTAAAAATAAAAAAAAGACAACTATGCAAACATTCCAATTTTTTTTTTAATTTTTGAATCTCTCTTCTTCTTCTTCTTCTTCTTTTATATGAAAATAAGCAGGGGGACTAAAAAATGAGTTATGACAGGTGGTGTGTAGTTTTGGCTATGGTAAAAGCTATGTGATGAATAAATTTTATGGGTAGCACAACTTTTTGAAAATTTTCTCATTGATAGTGCAGTCTGAAGTTAGTATTAGATTTGAAAAATTCTCTCTTTAATATGAGAAAGAAAGACAGCTATTCAATGTTAACTTTGTATTTCTGTTTGTCTTCTTTTCTTTGTAAGAGAATTGTTGCAGCAATAGATTGAGTAGTCGCCAATCATAGATGGCTAGCGCTAGCATGTTCTTCTTGCATAATTAGTATTTGATTTATTTTCAATTTCCCTCATCTATTGTTAAAAAAAAAAATACAGAAAGAGAGATAAAGCACTAATCATTAGTTATGTTCTTGGCTAGCATATAGTACTTCCTTTACATCGGAAGAAATAAAGTTACCGAAAATGCAAGAAATTTCAGTTAGTTCATGTCTTATGACCTATTCAATGGTCCAATGGGATTATGTTGCAGCAGGTTATAATTGAATTGCTGCCATAATTGAACCAATATATATTTTTTTAAAAAAAAATCTATTTCAATGGTACAGGAAGAGCCGTACATATAATCAAAATTTATGGTTCTTATGAACATTGTCGTAAAAAATTTTTTGATGTTAAATGATTCAGAAAAATATGAATAAAAAATAGAACTAAATCATATTATTGGTAGAAATTCAATTACAAAATTATAGACCTATGTTCTACTACTGAGTCAAAAAGATTCTTTTTTTCGATAATGAATATCACGAGTAAAATTCCACGTTAAATTTTCTAATTAAAAAAAAAAGCTTTTATACATATTCAAAGTGATTCAATAATACAAATTTGAACCCTTTGCAAGTAATAAAAAAAATATTATAAAATATTTTTAAGAATTTATTTTTAAAACATTCAAGGTTGTGCGTTAAAAAATATCTCTTAACTATATCTAAAAAAAAAATTAGTCTCAAGATACGTAAAAATTGGTCAGAGGACACTCTTACTGTTAAAAAAAATAATAATAATACAAATTTGTACATTCTCAAAATAATAATACAGCTCAATTTAAATAAAATTAAATCTTGTACGCATGACTGTCTTGGGTTGATGGGGACCCTCCACCCTCCACTCCTACAATTGCTAGAACCATATATATATATATATATATACAGAGAGAGAGAGAGAGAGAGAGAGAGAGAGAGAGTTAGTGGAGTTCCATTGATAGAGAGATCTAAGGCCTAAATTATACGTGCTAATTGTATATAATTTCTCCGACACCATACAATTATGAATTAGAATTCCTTTTATATATTTAATTGTATATCCATTACAAAAAAAAAAACATAGAATTGGCAATACTAACTATACTAAACTATTTTTTTCTTGAGTTTGGACAAACCTAACTAGCTTGATCAATAAGTCACTTGTCGTCAACAATAGGTGAATTGTAATCATATCTTATATCTTCTTGACACTTGGAATGAGAGAAATTAAAAAAAAAAAAAGATGCACCAATTCATAAAAATTTCAACGAAGACAAAAAATTATTGATTAATTAAACATGTCTATGAGATTATCTTCCAGCAAATTTCTCCCGCTGACATGTACATGTTCATCGTACTATGCTTCTTAACTAGATATAGATAGTCAAACTCATATAATTTAGACAAAAATATAAACTGCGACATGACAAATGTACATACCGTATGAACTATTATAACTCATATTATATCATACACATTATTAGAGGTGACATCTTCTTATTAATCTATATATTAAGAATAACTTTTAAATTAAGTCTTTTGTCTTGTACTAGAGAATTAAAAATTATACCACATAGTGAATTTAGGACTAAAAAGTCCAAATTTCTTTTGAATTTTAAGTTATTCAAGAATCTATCTTTCAATTTTTAAATTCGATTTAGACTTCTTTCTAACTATTTTTTAATTTAAAATTGAATTTTTTATTAGTTTTTCATTAATTTTAACGATGGAAGTACATGACTTATACATATTTGATTTTTTTAACAAACTTTTTCGATAACTAAAAATTTATGAATGTTCTATTTTTTTCTCCAAAAAACTTTTTTTTTCTTCTAAAATGTTTTTTAATTGCTCATGAAGAATTGTATTTTTATGTTAAAATTGATAAAAATCTAACAAAAAATCATAATTTAAATGAAAAATAGTTAGAGGGAGATCCGATTCAAAATTAAAAATAGAAAAACTGATTTTTAAATAACTTTAAATTCAGAACTTTTTTAAAACTTTTTGACAATAATTCAGCTCATTATTCTCCGTACGATAGCTTGATTTTCTTCATAGTTTCTATAGGAATTTGGGGGCCCGTCTAAGAAAGCCACTTGTTCTGGATCTTTTTTTTATGGGCTTATACTTGGTTTCTAATAAGGTATGACAATGGCCCACAATTACACACACACGATCTATTTCTGTTGCCAAAAAAAATAAAATAAAATAAATCACATTAATGTCCGAAATACCAGAGTTATCAACCTCAAGGAAGGAAAAACCAAAGCCTAGTAGAAACAGGAAGAAATGATCTATTCCTGTTGCATTAAGTAAATTCTGGATGAAACTTTTTGTTTTTGGATAAATTCTGGATGAAAATTAATTAAAACTGTGGCAAATGCCAAAAACTAAATGCAGATCTTGAAATCCCTCCTAAAAATGGCAACTTTTAGGCACACAATCATATACATGCCATTGTGGAAAATGGGTCCTTGAAACAATTGCAGATAACAACTTCAACATCATTAAAGTTTTTTTAAAAGAGTATGCTGAAGCAGTAAACAACACGACGAAACAACGTAAAACAATTGTTTGTTCAACAACCTGAAATAGAACCAGAAGTTCTATGTCACTTCTCATCCAAGAAAAAAATCCTTGAACAATCATCAAAGAACGGTAAAACCACAACCTTTGCCAATATTACAATTTACAAGAAAATGATGCACTATCTTTTGCTTGAATACTGCATGGCCTACAAGAAGGGTGTCAACATTTGCACAGCCATAAACAGATGTATGATGTTTATCTAGGAAATGATTTTCCTGCATACAAAGATAAGAAACTACGACCCTTTACAACAAAGAATGCTTTAACTTCTCATGTTATGGCACCTCCTAGATGAAAAGGGGTGTGCCAAATTTGGGAAATATGAAAGAGCAAACCTTGTGATGACATATAAATTGTTCAGTTCAGTCCATAAACTTGTGATTTATACTTTAATGGCTAGTTGGTAATCCATACCATGGTCTGCCTCAACCAGCTGGGAAGTAGCTCCGTCTGCTCGATCCACACATCTTTTCCTGCAACCACAGATTGCGGTATAAGAGTCTAGCATGTAACTTGTCTAGTCTGGTGGACTGGTGGTGCAATTTTATGATGAATAAAGAGTGGAGCATCAAGTTCAGGCTATGATCAACATGCTTGGAGACTGGCTCTGGGCTAGACCATCTAAGGTACCCAAACCAAAGTTAGTCCATAAAAAGAGCATCGATTCATATCACAGAGAAATACCAGCTCATTTTAATCTCAATCAAATTAAAATACATTTCATAAAAACAATAATAATAATAAAACAGGAGAAACAGAACATTGAACTCAAGGAGAGAATAGTGGGAAGTGAAATTTCTACACTCATACAATATATTCCAGCAGTTTAATTAATTTCAGGAACTATCAACATGCTTATATATATATCAATAAAGATGTTCAAATAGCATAATTAACAGATATACTATATACTTACAATCAAAAGTTGCCCAGCTCGAAGGAGTTGCAGTAGAGGCAGTATCCTGTTTCGTATTATCGAAATAAAGCAAGTTGTAGAGGTCTGTTGGACCATCAGTCTTCTTTATGCAAGATTCAGTTAGTCCCCTCGTTGCAGTTAAAGAAATTGGATAGCTCTTCATGTCCAAAGAAGCCTATACGGAAAAATTAACAAGCTTCAGAACTAATACATTCTTTTTCTCAAACATTCTAAAGATATTCAGGAAACCAGTCATGTGACTGGTTTTCTGATTATCTTTATAAGATTATTCACATAGCATTAAACTCAGAAACTGACGATTTTATCTTCCATGCTTTTTTACGTGTTATTTTCAGATCGTAACTATGATCGATACGAGTCAGGATAAGAGTTTTCTCTCAAGGAAAAATCACCAAACATAAAGATCTATTAACATTACCCAACGGGGTCTTGTCACAGGAGGAGAAAGTTGTGCCGTGAGCCTGGTAAAACTCTCTTCATCAAGAGATTGTGGTCGTGTTTGCTTCGGAACCCTCCTTTTGGCTGCATCTTCTACAAACATGCCATTGTTATAGTTAATTCCACTGAAAACTTGAGTTGGTTGTTTTGAATTTCTTGAAACCCATCTTTTCTCCCCATACCTGGAAAATTTCCAAGTAAATTAATCAAGACAGATAGAGATGAAAATCTTGTTTTGAGATACAGCTAACCATAAACATTCAGTAGCAGATTTACTTGGCATGGATAAATCTTTCAATCCCACTTCTGTCAAAATTTGGAGACAGTTCTGCTTCCCAGTAACTATTAGACCTTCTGTTACCCACGGCTATTCGACAAACAAATTAAAACAAGAATGATTAACAAAACAGTTATGCAGTAATGGTCATTATACAAAATCAAAATTAATCAAAGATCAAACACAATTCAAGCAGTAAACTTTAAACTATCAACTTGACGTTCTTAACCGGAGAAGTTGGATAACAAATGAAATATAACAAAAAATTATCAGTCAGATTTTCATTACAAAATCTTGCAGGAGGATTCCATTTCTTATATCTGCACACCTATTCTACCAGCCTGACATTTTTATGTAGTACAACTAAATTTGTTTCATCAGATCTGTTATTCATAGAGACAAAAATCAGGAAATAACTTATGTTTGAATAAAGAAGTTATATCATTTCCTGATCATTGCTTCATGCTTCAACTCACACGTAACAACAGTGAGATGCTTACATTGCATGAAAGCAACCTGCTCTGGCAACCATGTATCCAGTGTAGTAGATCGTACCTATTCGCAAGCCAAAATGTCCAAGTCATCATCAGTATTGGTAATGCAGGAAGGAACCAAGAAAATAACAAGAGCTAATAACAAAAAGAAGTCAAAACTGGCTATCTTCTCATCCTTGCTGAAAAAACATCACAGATCGAATTTTGGTTTGTGGTACTTCTGTTTTCTGTAACCTCTTTACGGACACTAAACTTGCCTCTACAGGCATATATCTAATATGTTCTAATAAAACAAAATCAAATAAAAAGTCTTTTGAACTTAAAATTTTCAACGTACACCATCATAGAGAATTCAGAATGAAACTATAAATTTTGTTAGTAGAATGTGAAACATAGACTAGAAAAGCAAGAATAGCAATACAAACCTGTGAAATATGCACCCCAAGACCCCGATGAATTCCTGAACATTGCATGCATATAAATATTCCAAGGTTCACACTTGCCCATCGTGGTGCCCTGAGATAAATAAATCCAAAATTCTAAGATCAAACTTTAACAGTTTATTGGACAAGTAAATAAGTAATTCAAAATTCTCAACAACCATATTTGTGCAACATCAGAATGTCAGAGACCTATTCTAACTAGTTAGAAAATCTATGACAGCCAGGATTTTAACTAATAGCACCCAGGCAGCAGAGAATGAGAGCCCAACAATATAGACGGATCATGCTACTTTTACAATTCTGGGAATTTTGCAGTGTGCATATGCTTCCACTGTTTCTTAGCCCTGAAGCCTAGGCTTTTGGGCCTGCAGGTGCAACACTGATTTGGGCTCATTGTCCTCATTGCCTAAAAAATTTCTCTGTGGCACGTAGATCCATTAGCCATTGTTTTTATCTAATTCAAATTCCCAATAATCCTCAGACGTGGGATATGGGGCATCTCAACTAGGATCACTCAGGTGTTGCCCTCACTTCAGGGGAAATTAGAAATTAAAAACCCAACTATGATGGACTAAAAGCAGCAGCTAGGAACCACAAGAGAAAGTCACAAAACTCCGTGTGGATGTACAAGTTCGGTAGAACATAGGTTCTGAGTCGCTTTCTGAAAATGTGATATCATGTTGCAACTTGATCCGAGACCACTTGGAAGGAGATTATAGCTAAACAAGTACATCCTAATGGTTCCCATAAAGATTTTAAACTAGTCTTTTCATAATGGTTATGGCATGAAACAACCTAATCCAAGAACCACTGAGGATGAATTCTAGTTAAGTTACAGGCCACTATAATTGCGAAATTAATTAAAGCTGAACATAAGAAAGGATTCCAGAAGAGTACTTGCTATGACAATCAGCACATTCTCTGTTCTCCGGCAGCTTAACAAGGCCCTCTAATATCTGCATAAAAGGGTAAGAAAAAGAAAACTATGTCAATGAAAAACTGGAAGTTGATCAAGTGAATCCAACTCAAAGTTGAATTTTTATTCAAAGAATCATTCTCTATGTAGTCTTTGTTATCAGAAATTCAGAATGGCTTATAAGAGTGAGCTAAGTATGCTCGGGTCCTCAGATTGTATGGTATTTCCATCCAGTGATAATGCTAGTTCTAAAATCTAGATGCCATAGTTTCTACCTGATCTGCATTGATTATTTACTCCTGAGTATTGTCTAAGAATGAACTGTTTCTAACTACTTGTAGCTGTTTGATTAAACCTCTCATCCATATATTTATGTTTTCCTTCCTCGTGAATTTCTATTTTCGACATCTTCAACCCCAATTACCATTTGCAACAGTTGTTGAATAAAATTCAAATAATTCCTATTATAGAGAAGAAAACAATGATAGAATAACATTGTATAACATTAAAATGTGCGACGCCTTTCTTAATCAGCTTTTTAACATGAAAGCCAAACAATAGTTGCAAAAAACAAAAAAGAAATTAAAAAGACTTAAACAAGCAACAGAGAAAGAAAAGGGCATTGGGGATAACTGGATGCATGCTGGGGTTATTAGAGAATGCAAGAAATGATGCTGACAAAGAAAGAGATTCAACTGAATTATGATTCAAATCCAATGAACCCAGAAAACCAAAACAAAAGATCCTAACCAATGACAATGAAGTTGGTGAAAAGGGAAAGCAGACCTTGGTGTGCCTGGCATTAAGCTCCCTGGAGACAGAGGCTTTGCTGTTCATGTTGGCCTCCCTTAGCTTTTGTCTAGGAAATGATGACAACCCTGTATGTGTCCACCTTGATCCGACTTTAATTTCAATCATCAAACAAAGAAAGACACACCATACAAAGGGGAAAAAAAAAAAAAAAAAAAGATAAGAGAGGCCAACCCAGAAAGCTACAAATTCTATGAGAGAGAAAAGAGGGAGAGGAAATGCTAAATGAGGATTTATTTTTCTAAGTTTTTTGTGTTGTGGGGTTTCTTGCGGTCAAACAAAATCAAAGGAGGAGGAAATGGTTGGAAAAGCTGAAAAGACGGCAGCAAATGCAAAGCTTAGATTTAGTAGATACCTCGCTCTTATATTTGGCGGCAAATTCTCAACTAACCAAAGATATTCACTATCACATTATATTCCTTCCTTTTTTTGAAAATGTGCATTGCAATTGGACCGATTCTAGTTTTTCTTTCCTTTTCCATTTGTTTTGAATGATTTTTCTGAACATGTAGTCTGGAAATTTTAATAATCGGGCCTCCATGGTTTTGGAAGAATAGAGTTTGAAGCTAGTCTTGGATTTTTAATGGGCTTGATCCATTTGATACACTCAATTGGATTTCAGATTTGATGACATGTCCCATCCCCATGTATTCATGCTACGAGTTTGGAACAAGTTCAGTTGAGGAAATATTTAATTCATGAAGAGGAACCGATTGAAACCATCAGCATGAAGGAGAAAGTAATTCGCAGTAGGATGATTCAGTTCTCAGAGGATATCTCCACCTTTTGCATCCATACTATAAATGATTTAACCACGTAATTTACCTTTAAATTATTGATGTTGCGATAAAATAAAACTTGCACTATCAATTTGAGCTATTTATACTGTAAATTTGTAATTTTAAGGTAAATTTTATTCTTTTTCATTATGTCTAATAATCAAAATATTTACTATTAATTAAAATACTTAAAGCGACATGTCGTTTTAAGCCTTTTAGGCTTTTTTTTAAAAAAATCAAAATTAATTTCTAAAACAATATTTGATAATAATTAGATAATTTTATTGTTGATGGATTTGACTTTTGTTATTGGATAATTAATGGTATGTAATAGATCTGATCTAGTAAAATAATAATAATAATAATAATTGAATTATTAAATATAATTTTGAAATTAATTTTAATTCTAAGAAAAATTTTAAGTTATTTTAGTTAACTGTCGCCGCTTTGACGACTATCAAACATACATAATAGAAAAGGATAAAATTTATCTAAAAATTAATAATTTGAGGTTCAAATAGCCTAAATTGATAATATAAACTTTATCTTACCACAATTCTAGTAGTTTTGGGAGTAAATTATGCCATTGAACCCACTGTAACAAATAAGAGGGGCCAAAAAAAAAAACATTTTGCGATGCTCTCCATGCTCAGACCAGCCTTACTAGCGGGATGTAATCAGGCTGGCAAGTTTCTGATCGTGATGCAAAATGTGCAAGCAAGTAGCATAGATTTATAACACCATTTCGCCAATCCTAATTGATAATATGATGTTCTCTCGACGGATTCTTATAGCACTCTATTCCACACAGGTTCACATCGTTTTTTCCAGTTAAGATAATCAATACAGAGAAAAATCCGATGATCTTAACTTCCCAGGTTCAAAGCCTCATTGAAAGGTTCAGCTTGTTAAAGCCTATCTGGAAAATTTACCTGGCTTTGATTCTATGTTCAATTATGATTCACCTATATCACAAAGCAAAGTGATGGTAAAGAGAGAGGCCACAGTGGCAGTTCCTCCCCTGCTCTTCAAGTATTATATTGCACTAACAGTCAGGTAAAAGTCATGCATAATGAAGGGCCAGCCACCACACAAAATTCTAATTAATGATACACAGACTATGTTCAAACTACAGAAATTTCTCAGGTTAATGAATCTCACTCACCTGAATTCTCTTTCCAATGGACCAAAGGAACAGTCCAAGTTAAAATAAACAACAATCATTATTTACCCCATTGGCCATGATTGACGAGGCAATTATAAAGCCAAGTTTCTCCATTTGTCCAAGCAAGCTTATTTCAACTTCAATCTCCTAAGCAGGTCCTTTCTCCTCGTAGACACAGCCTGCAGCAAATTCACAACGTTTTTAGTTGAATTCCTGGAAGTTCAAGAGGATACAGCCACATATTGCATGGTAAAAAAGTTCATCGAATTATTCAGATACAGAGTTCATTAGAACAGTATAAGCTACGAAGTGTATGCTATCATTTGGTACTACCACAAACTAAACTAGCCTGCCTAACCCTGAATTTTATAATTTTCTGAAGTTGCTTGTCCAACAGACAAATTACACCATATGAATTTTTGGACAGATTTCAGTCACAAAATCAACAAGCAAGTATAAAAGCAGAAAACAGTAGTCTCTATCCCTGTTCGATCTCATATCAAATATAGCAAAGTTACAATATTTCACTTGCCCGTGCAGATGAGACAATCATTATTTTAAAAAACATAAACAACTGCTTGAATAAAAATTCTGAAGATGAAGAATTCATATATGCAGAACTGGTTGCTGCAATTCTTTAAAGAGGTTGTGGTTTCAATCCCCTGCTCTTAACTCCTAAAAAGACCTGAGACATGATTCCAGGTTACTACCATTCAGTTGTAAATAGTAGGTAGATTGATGGGGGAAAAAAAGGAGTTCTTATAAGCCAGATTGGTTGAATAGAATTCAGTGGAATACAAAAGAGAGTCAGTGGAAACCAGAAAAGACAAACTCAAAGATTATATCTTGCAACTGCAATGCTGAACCTTCACTTAACAATTAACCATAAATGCAAACGACAACGAAGAAACGGTATAACAGAAAATCAACAGTAAGAATATCCATGAACAAAATACCTCAAAGATAATAATACGACATAATTATCGACTTAACATCTAGAATAAAAAAGTACAGGACTTATGGGTACTAAGAAGAGGTTCTATTGGATAAAAAGTTAGTAGTCTGGCCATTAACCGATTCGCTAGTGGAAGCCAGGTCAGAGAAAATCACAATTGAGGTCATAAATTAGAGAATCATCAGCTAATTTATGTCCTTGAAAACGATGCCAAGACCATACAAGATAAAAGACCGAGAACCAACAAGGTATTCTAATGGCTGTGCAATTATCAACTTAACAGTGCAGAATACAAAATAAGTATTCCAGAATGCTAGCTGCATAAAGAGGCAATCATGTATATCAACAGATTTAAGAGCAGATGAGCTATATTAGCAATCTCATGGTCTCCAAACAACGCAGAAGGACAACAGTCATAAAGAGTTCTTTGGAAGAGAATTCCAAGACTTCAGCATTAACAAAATTGTGCTATCGTGCATATAAATTGTCTTTTGGTTTAAGGATTATGTGGGCAAGACCTCAGTGACAGTTTTGAGACCAACCAAGAATACCAGCTATTAAGGAAAACTATCATATACCATGAATTGTAACAAGTCTCCTAAAAACCAACAAATTCAACTTCAATGTTCTATAAATTTTCTTCATAAACCACAGGCGAAAGAAATCACAAGATTATATGTTTTAGACCAAGAATTTCTTAAACATCACACCTTACAGCTCCGATCAATTAATTCAATTATCTTCTGACAAGACACATAAAACATCAAAATACCCAATTACAATAGGACACTAAAAAGACCTGACAAAAACTAAAAACAGACAAACCCCAAAATTAAGAGGAACCCAGAACCTCAATTACTTGGATCACTTTTTTGCAGCTACTACTTCTTCTTCTTGTGGAGTCTTGGCAACTATGGAGAGAGCATGCAATCCAGACTGCAACTCCTCCGCGAGTGCATCATAAACCAAGCGGTGACGCTTCACTGGATTAAGCCCATCAAATTTAGGAGACACGATCTTGACATTGAAATGAGTTTCCCCTGCTGTATTGCCTTTCATGGCAGCATGGCCTGCGTGCTGGTGTGAAACGTCTTCGATTTCTAAAAAGCTTGCCTCTAGTGATGATTGTAATTTCGTTTTCATCCTGTTTGCTCTCGACAGTATCATGTTTGCTGCTCCTCGCGAAGCCATTGGAAATTTTATCAATCAATGAAGAAGAACAGAATAAACTGTGAGCCTGATAAAGAGAATGTAAAGCAAGGATTAAGGAAGAACGCAGAAAATCTAATTTGAGTTTAGGGTTTAGGTCCGACTTCTACCCAGACTAAGCCCAGCTCATGAACAGGCCAGTTTAGTAATTTTCATTTTCATATATAGGTTGTTTATTCTTGTGAACAAGCCCCATCATCTAATGATTTTGGAGTCAAAACCCCACAAAATCACCACTGCCTTAAAAGGGTGTTCAAAATAACCTATAAACTTGATAGCCGATTCCAATCTTTCGAACCGCACTTAAAAATTAGGTTAACAGAATTTAAGTTGAGGTTCAGTTCGAGTATACGTTAAGGTGAAAGTTCTTGATTTACGAATCTAAATTAAACGAATTGAACCAAATTAAATTTGTATTAACTTAACTGAATTAAACCTATATATATATATATATATATATATATATATATATATATATATATTCTTTTGTCTTTCCTTATCATTTGGAAACTTTTCAAACATGAGTGAGCACTATTCGATTTAAACTAAAAAATAAAACCGAACTAAAATATTAATTTGGTTTGATTTTTAACCCAAAAGTTCAAAAAAAAAAACGAACTAATTTTTTTTTCAGTGCCGTTTGTTTTTAAAATTTTTTATTCGATTTAAACCGAAAACTATTTTTTTAATATAATACATATAAATTAAAAAATAAACATCTTGACATTATTATAGATATATGAAGGATTGGTGGTCTTTTTGGTCTATTTATATTATTTTAAAAAATCAGAAAAAAAATTAAACCTAAAAACCAAACATAATTTGGTTAGTATTTGGGTTTGGATTTTATTTCTGTAGATTTGGCTAACAAAAAACTAAACCAAAATTGTTAGAAATCAAATCGAAAAAACAAATTATCACTCTTACTTCTCAACGCTCATTAGTAATGTTAAAAATGAAAAATATTTTTATATTAATAAGATTTGTAGTTAATAAACATATTATAAGTAAGTCTATATCATATTAATTAATAACTACTAGTTACATTTAAAATGCATAATAAATATAAAATCTCCAAAAGATGAACAATTATATCACATCAAAGAAAAATTTTACAGCTAGAAATTATTAATTTCACAATCATAGCCAATTACAATATTAAATTATAATTTTATTAGAATGTTTGATTTATTTTTTTTAAGTTTAGACAATGATATTGGATATTAAATAAGTCTTTGTAAGGTTGGTTTACACGAAAACACACTCACACAACATGTTCTTTCTAGTAGATTCTATGAATTTTAGTATATACAAATAAGCGAATAATAAGTGCGTAACTCGTTTCCATTAACTTTTCAATAAATAATTAGTGTATATGAATATACAAATTAATAATAACTCGATAAGGGTACTCTAATTTTATTAAATTACTTCATTATTATAACATCAATTATGTATCAACTAAATACCAAAAAACAGAGATTTCAATGGATAATTTATAAGAATATATTAATTACCTAATAAGTATGAATGATATTTGATGTTTTGATCTTATTATCTTAGATCATATTTACTATTGTCAAGTTGAATAATAACTATAAATTAAATATAAAAATAAATATTTTATTATAAATAACAATTATATTTGAATATACGATCATATTTTTATCAATCACATTTAATATACTATAACTAAGTTAAAAAATTAAACTACACGAATGCTACATAGAATTAGTACTTAGAGCATCTCCAATGCTCTCTTTATATTAAGATTTTTCTTTATAATAAAGAGGTTTAATCCAAATTTCATTTCCAATGCTCTTTTTATTATAATCTCTATCTTTAAAATTGATATAGAAAGTGTCGTTGGCTCTCCAATACTAGAGAGTTTAAATGACTCTTTATCTTATATTTTATTAATAAAAATTACTATTTCCTATGCCATTCAATCTCTTCACCAATAGTTTCTCTAGGTTTTATAGATTTTGTCAAAATGAAGAGTTAAGTAGAGAGTAGCATTAGAGAAGATATTGATCTTCAATCTATATAATTAATGATGCTCTCTATTTACATTAAAAACGCTAACTAAAAATAAAGAATATCACCTGGAGATGCTCTTAATTCATCTAATGTACTATACATGTGTTATACATTATTCCATTACTACAAAATCATATGCTATTCCATTAATTATATACAAAAATACTATAAATTCAAGTAACAATAAATTAATTATAAATGTTATATGATACTAAACACAGCTTAAATATTAAATTATGAGATTTGTGTCATTTGAACCTTTAAATAAAAGATTATAAAAGGTTAATTTACAGCTTAAAGATATTTGATTTTTTATTTGAAGTATCACACACGTTTATGAATATATTAAAGAACTTGAAACTAGATTCTCAAAATCTGTAAGTTCTTTAGTTGTCAAGTTCAACTTCAAGTTCGCAAAAGTATCAACACTGAGTTTTCGATTTAGATTTGGATTCTTACTATTTAGGCTCTTATCCCACCATGAACACCTCTATCTTTTACATCTGAACACCAGGAACGGACACAATCTTCTTCCTTTTATTTTTTTGGGTTCAATATCGCATGGTTTTCTAATTGGATTGTTCAACAAAATATGTTTTTTTAACTGGAGAAATTTTATAATTTGTCTTTCAAAATTAAAGTGTTTTATTTTTTCTTTTTCTTGGATAGGTCATTTGTATCTAAATTGGTTTATTTATAATGTCTTCCACCTGTCAAGCACAGGAAATTTGTCTGAAAATATATATTAGCTGGCTGCTATCTGTACTGCCCAGAAAGCATTAAGAAGAGAGTGACACTCCATTTGTCCATTTCCCCTTCACACTTTTTCAGTCTTTGCAGAGAGAAACAAAGGTTGTAGAGAGAGACGGTTTCTTGTTGTGTCTCTTACCTTTGAGGGTTTTGAAGGTAAGAATGAAGAAATCTAAAGGAGACATTTTTATTGTTGGTAGCTAAAAGGTTTATGATATTGGTTTTGTTATCGCTCATATTTGCTTTTCTGGTACCTTGGAGCTTTGTGTTTGTTAGTCTTTGTTTGGTTGGCAAGAAAACTTTTTTGCTGACTTTCTTTTTTCCTTCTTAAAACCCATCAATCGTTTGAATTTTGATGATGTTTAATTTTATTGTAGAACACAGAGGAGGTTGGTTTGATCGTCTGACTTCCATTTCGTTTTTATGAAGGCTGTAAGGGTCTGTTTGTTTGTGTGGAAAGAGATTGAAAATGAAAATTTTGACACAAACCTTTCATGACTATTTGTCGGGACACCGAAGGACCTTTTTTTAAAAAAAAAAAGAAAAAGGGTCGTTGATGTTTAAGAAATTTGATTATTCTTGGGTGCTGGCCTGATCTAACATATTTTGTTGTTGTTTTTTTTTTACCCGCTTTTCTCTGCGTTTGATTTATGGTTTTACTTGGATGAAAAGAAAAATATTAATTGCATGTTCTGCTTGGATCATGAGAGAATACGGGAGAAGAGTTCATGAAATTCTTATGAACTTTTGTTAAAAAAAGAAGAAGCAATATTCGTTAATAAACATTTAAAACAGTGAATATACTGAGTTTTTTTTTATAGGTTTCTTGGCTACCAAACAGAGCCTTAAAGTTCTTGTCAGGATATTGGAATTTTATTATAAGCAGTAAACAATGCTGTTTTGGTGCTTATTTGCTTGTTGTTAAAAAAAGGGATTTAATTAGGAATTATGATATGTATGTTGTACTAGAGGCCTTTATGTTTGTTTGGTTGTTTCCCAAGAACACACACAAAACTAATTCCAGGGAACATCATTTGTCCTATATATATAGTCATGAATTAAGAAAGGATGTGATTTTTTTCTGATAAATTTGCTTAAACTCAGGGTTCATTGTTCTTGATTGAATTAAGAGGACCTGTTCTTACGTTTAATGTATTGCTATCTAACACTTAAAGTGTTTTACAATATCTCCTATTGATTTTCATCCACTTTGTTTGCTTAATATATAGAGGATTCTGATGAACCTGGACCTTCTTTTCTTGGGATGCTATTTGTGACGGGTAAGATAATTTCATGTCATTTTGCTTTTCTGTTTCTACTGTATCTTATTTTTGCCTCTAACGGGTATATCCTCTTCTCTTATATATGTTTCCATCTTCACTGTAATTTCTTTTTCATTTTCGAGAAATTTCAATTTTATTATTAGAGTTCATGCAAAACAGGAAAAACACAAGTTCTTAAGCTGTAAAAGTCGTTGAGATACTATATACACGCACACACACACACACACACGTACACACACATATATATGTATGAAAAGGTTAAGAAGGTTCACGCTTTAGTCTTTGACATGCTTTCTTAAACATGCGATAATCATGAAATGCTTTTGGGATTGGAGTTTTCTTAATGAGATGTTCCTTAATAATGAATTGTAATTTTGTTTAATTAATTTTCATTCTCTCCTTTGTTGTTAGTATTTGGATGTTTTTGTTAATTTCCTTGTATGAGTAACATAGAGGTGGTAGCTGGGGAGTGGGGATGCTCATTTCCATTGACTATTGTGTTGATAAATCATTATTTGTGCAACGAGACTCATTATTTACCTGAATGAAGAACGAAACATGTTCTATCATTTTACTCCTGACCTTTGTCTTCTTGATATTCAAGACTCAATGACTGCGTTCGTTTTTTCTGTGATTTAGGAAATGGCAGATTTTGGGTGCTTGAACCCTGACATTACCTTTAATGTCCTCTCCCGACTGCAAACGAAAGATTTGCTGGGATTGAAATGTGTCTCTAAAGGATGGCACCGCCTTATATCTGATCGCTCTTTCATCCAGGCTCAGTCACAAAAGAAAGAGCCATTGTCAGGATTCTTCTTCCAGCAGAGGTACCCGGATTGTTATGAAACTTCTGATGACATAAAAACTATCACCTATATTCCTGTTGAAAGGAAAGGATTGCAGCGGAATGTCTTTGCTTTTCGCCGTCAGTATGTCGTGGTGTTAGCATCATGCAATGGGCTACTTTGTTGTCGAAGTTGCTTCCCCTTTGAAGATCCAGCTATCTATGTCTGCAACCCTTTGAACAGTGATTGGTGGAAACTGGATTGGAAGGAACCTGACAAAGAAAGCTTCATTGCTCTGGCGTTTGATCCCTTCCAGGATTTTTCTGTCAATTCGACAAATTTCAAGGTTGTTAGACCAAGGAAGTTGGAGACTGAGAAGGGGAAGCATACTCATTTGAAATATATACCTCAAAGACAAGGAATTGGAAGCTATCAGAAGAGGTTTGCTGCTGTAATAACAGTTTGTCCAAGAATGGAGGTGTTTTTATTGGAGGGATCTTACACTGGCTCACTGATGGTGGCCAAATTCTGACTTTTAATGCAGAGAATGAAACAGCTTTGCTGATTTCAATTCCACTACCAGCTGGAGAGTTTAATTGTACACGTCAAGCTTGCATTGGAGAATCTGAAGGTCGACTGTCTTATGTATCGGTCCCTGAAGGACTTCGCGTATGGTTTCTTGAGGATTACTATGATTCTACTTGGTCTCTCAAGTACTCCAAAACTCTTGCGCTGATGGAAACGGAACACCCGGGAATCATGTTCGATTTATACGATGGAATGATGCACTGGCTGAGAATTGATCATAGCCCGTGGTGGGATCCCTTGGCTTTCAAAGACGGGGTCTTAGTAGTAAGGGTATCCAGTACCATCTACTTATATCATGTTGAGGCTAGCAAGATGGAGGAAGTTTGCGAGACTTCAGAGCTTGGTCCAATTTCCGGGGTTTCCCCTATAGTGCTTCCCTATACCATGAGCTTGGTTTCTTTAGGTCGTCAATAGGGGTCATCTTAATTTTCATACTCTGCTGACTATGACCTTATGGTGACTTAACTTTCGAATTACCATATGGTTTCAGCTTTACTAGTTGTTATTTGTTAAAAATTTTATAATGTTTTGTGATTCTTATAAGTTCATTTTAATCAGCAATGTGTTGATTATCATGCTTTCCTTCCATTTGGAATTCAGAACTATCCAAAGAACTTGGTGATTTTGCTCAATTCCTGTGTCTGGAACTGGATTTTTAATGTGACAGAAAGGTGGAAGTACTGAAGTTAAAAAACTGTGTTGGCTGCCTACTGAAAGGGTAGAATGTTTTATCTTAAATATAAAGCTAAGTGCAAAAGATAATTCTTGAAGAACTTAATTTCTACAGCTCTTGACCTCTTTCTGAAACTGGGTGGCTGAAAGCGTAAGATGTTTTGCATGCTCTGTCAGCCTTTTTTTTTTTTTTTTGGTAGATTATGTATCATATTTAGTGAATGGGCCGAACATCCAGCCCATTGAACATTAGAAAATACTATACCTATTATCTGTTAAAAATCACTTCCTCCTTTCTTTACTCAGATCATACCCATTATATTATGTCCCACCTTGTCCATATCCTTTTTGTACCCCTTTATCCGTTATTTTAAAAAAAAAATTGACGACTTTTTTTTTTTAAATTTTCCTTTGAGTTTTAAAATATTTTTTTATTAAATTTTATTTTTTAAAAAATTATGTAAATACAATTTTTTTATAAATAATTTTACAAATTATACTTAAAATATTTTAACATGACATAATAATTAATAATTTTTTAACTTATGTAAAAAATTAAATAGAACAATTTTTTTAAGACAGAAATATATAGGGTATCTTAATAGGTGCTGTCGAAAAAAAAAAAAAACCTAATAATTCCATACTATTTAAGCATTTTTTACCTTACCACTATGATGGGTTAGGTTAAAACAGGAGGGTGAAAAGGTTGTTATTGTCATGATCACTTTATCACAAAAAACCAAATTAATCCAAGTGGGTATTTTCTACTGTATATATACGTACAATCTTCCTTCTCAATCTTAATTATTAAAACACGAGGGTGAAAAGGCCTGAGACATGATTCCAGGTTACTGCCATTCAGTTGTAAATACTTGTTAGATTGATGGGAAAAAAAAAAATAGAGACCAACCAAGAATACCAGCCATTAAGGAAAACTATCATATACCATGAATTGTAATAAGTCTCCAAAAAACCAACAAATTCAACTTCAATGTTCTATAAATTTTCTTGATAAACCACAGGCGAAAGAAATCACAAGATTATATGTTTTAGACCAAGAATTCCTTAAACATCAAACCTTACAGCTCCAATCAATTAATTCAATTATCTTCTGACAAGACACATAAAACATCAAAATACCCAATTACAATAGGACACTAAAAAGACCTGACAAAAACTAAAAACAGACAAACCCCAAAATTAAGAGGAACCCAGAACCTCAATTACTTGGATCACTTTTTTGCAGCTACTACTTCTTCTTCTTGTGGAGTCTTGGCAACTATGGAGAGAGCATGCAATCCAGACTGCAACTCCTCCGCAAGTGCATCATAAACCAAGCGGTGACGCTTCACTGGATTAAGCCCATCAAATTTAGGAGACACGATCTTGACATTGAAATGAGTTTCCCCTGCTGTATTGCCTTTCATGGCAGCATGGCCTGCGTGCTGGTGTGAAACGTCTTCGATTTCTAAAAAGCTTGCCTCTAGTGATGATTGTAATTTCGTTTTCATCCTGTTTGCTCTCGACAGTATCATGTTTGCTGCTCCTCGCGAAGCCATTGGAAATTTTATCAATCAATGAAGAAGAACAGAATAAACTGTGAGCCTGATAAAGAGAATGTAAAGCAAGGATTAAGGAAGAACGCAGAAAATCTAATTTGAGTTTAGGGTTTAGGCCCGACTTCTACCCAGACTAAGCCCAGCTCATGAACAGGCCAGTTTAGTAATTTTCATTTTCATATATAGGTTGTTTATTCTTGCGAACAAGCCCCATCATCTAATGATTTTGGAGTCAAAACCCCACAAAATCACCACTGCCTTAAAAGGGTGTTCAAAATAACCTATAAACTTGATAGCCGATTCCAATCTTTCGAACCGCACTTAAAAATTAGGTTAACAGAATTTAAGTTGAGGTTCAGTTCGAGTATACGTTAAGGTGAAAGTTCTTGATTTACGAATCTAAATTAAACGAATTGAACCAAATTAAATTTGTATTAACTTAACTGAATTAAACCTATATATATATATATATATATATATATTTTCTTTTTTTTTTCCTTATCATTTGGAAACTTTTCAAACATGAGTGAGCACTATTCGATTTAAACTAAAAAATAAAACCGAACTAAAATATTAATTTGGTTTGATTTTTAACCCAAAAGTTCAAAAAAAAAAACGAACTAATTTTTTTTTCAGTGCCGTTTGTTTTTAAAATTTTTTATTCGATTTAAACCGAAAACTATTTTTTTAATATAATACATATAAATTAAAAAATAAACATCTTGACATTATTATAGATATATGAAGGATTGGTGGTCTTTTTGGTCTATTTATATTATTTTAAAAAATCAGAAAAAAATTAAACCTAAAAACCAAACATAATTTGGTTAGTATTTGGGTTTGGATTTTATTTCTGTAGATTTGGCTAACAAAAAACTAAACCAAAATTGTTAGAAATCAAATCGAAAAAACAAATTATCACTCTTACTTCTCAACGCTCATTAGTAATGTTAAAAATGAAAAATATTTTTATATTAATAAGATTTGTAGTTAATAAACATATTATAAGTAAGTCTATATCATATTAATTAATAACTACTAGTTACATTTAAAATGCATAATAAATATAAAATCTCCAAAAGATGAACAATTATATCACATCAAAGAAACATTTTACAGCTAGAAATTATTAATTTTCACAATCATAGCCAATTACAATATTAAATTATAATTTTATTAGAATGTTTGATTTATTTTTTTAAGTTTAGACAATGATATTGGATATTAAATAAGTCTTTGTAAGGTTGGTTTACACGAAAACACACTCACACAACATGTTCTTTCTAGTAGATTCTATGAATTTTAGTATATACAAATAAGCGAATAATAAGTGCGTAACTCGTTTCCATTAACTTTTCAATAAATAATTAGTGTATATGAATATACAAATTAATAATAACTCGATAAGGGTACTCTAATTTTATTAAATTACTTCATTATTATAACATCAATTATGTATCAACTAAATACCAAAAAACAGAGATTTCAATGGATAATTTATAAGAATATATTAATTAAAGTGTTTTCTTTTTTCTTTCTTTTTCTTTTTTTTTTGGATAGGTCATTTGTATCTAAATTGGTTTATTTATATATATAAAAAATATTGCTTATACATATATTGGATTCAAATAGGAAACGATAAGTATGAATAAGAACAAAATCATTTACCACTCAACCCTACCCTTCAAAATAACATTAATACTGATTTATAGTGCAAAAAAAATTACTATAATATTGGAATCCCATTTGGATATATGAAAGAAATCAAATCGTGTTCTATTTATAATTTCGAAAAACCAACCAAATTTGCAAAAAACAGACTAGACCCAAAGTCCAAATTTATATATATATATATATATATATATATATATATATATCATCTCACGTCATTTTAAACTTATGCCTTGCAAATCCTCTAAAACTATGCAATTTCACATCATTAATCTCATGTTATATATATGCTTACGATTATTACTCTCTTTCCATTTCTTAATCAGTAATCACTTTCCTCAAATCTCGGGCAAAAGATCACAAATCAAAGGGCCCATTTTTCTGTCAACGTGGGACCTACTTTGAAACCCTAAACTCTTCATCCAGAACCTTTTTTGTTTTTTTATGGCAAGGCCCTTGATGTTGATCAAATGATCAAAACAAACCTGGCGTGTATGGTAACAGTGTGTATTGAAATAATTCTTCCACGTGTCAAGCACCGGAAATTGTCTGAAAATATAGATTAGCTGGCTGCTATCCGTACTGCCAAGAAAGCATAAGGAAAGAGAGTGACACTTCTGTTGTCCATTTCCCCTTCACACTTTTTCAGTCTGTGGAGAGAGAAACAATCTGGTTGTAGAGAGAGACGGTTTCTTGTTGTGGGTTTGCTTGGGTGTCTCTTACCTTTAAGGGTTTTGAGGGTAAGAAAGAAGAAATCTAAAGGAGACATTTTTATTGTTGGTAGCTAAGATGTTTATGATATAGGTTTTGTTAATCTTTCTCTTGGCGCTCATATTTGCTCATCTGGTACCTTCTAGCTTTGTGTTTGTTAGTCTTTGTTTGGCTGGCAAGAAACTGCAAGAAAACTTTTTATGTTAACTTTCTTTTTTCCTTCTTAAAACCCATCAATCGTTTGAATTTTGATGATGTTTAATTTTATTGTAGAAAACAGAGGAGGTTGGTTTGATTGTCTGACTTCCATTTTGTTTTGATGAAGCCTATAAGGGTCTGTTTGTTTGTATGCTTAAAAGATAGAGGATCCTGATGAACTTGGGCCTTCTTTTCCTGGGATGCTATTTGTGACGGGTTAGATATTTTCATGTCATTTTGCTTTCCTGTTTCTATTGTACCGGGTATATCCTCTTCTCTTGTATATGTTTCCATCTTCACTGTAATTTCTTTTTCATTTTCGAGAAATTTCAATTTTATTATTAGGGTTAAAACACAAGTTCTTAAGCTGTAAAAGTCATTGAGATACTAGACATACATACATATATGTATACATGTATATGTGTGTGAAAAGGTTAAGAAGGTTCACACTTTAATCTTTGACATGCTTTCTTAAACATGCAATAATCATGAAATGCTTTTGGGATTGGCCTTTTCTTAATGAGATGTTCCTTAATAATTAATGAATTGTAATTTAGTTTCATTAATTTTCAGTCTCTCCTTTGTTGTTAGTATTTGGATGTTTGTCTTAATGTCTTTGTACGAGTAATATAGAGGTGGTAGGTGGGGAGTGGGGATGCTCATTTCCATCGACTATCGTGTTGATAAATCGTTATTTGAGCAACGAGACTCATTATTTATCTGAATAAAGAAAGAAACATGTTCTATCATTTTCCTCCTGCCCTATGTCTTCTTGATATTCAAGACTCAATGACTGCATTCGTTTTTTCTGTGATTTAGGAAATGGCAGATTTTGGGTGCTTGAACCCTGACATTCCCTTTAATGTCCTCTCCCGACTGCAAACGAAAGATTTGCTGGGATTGAAGTGTGTCTCTAAAGGATGGCACCGCCTTATATCTGATCGCTCTTTCATCCAGGCTCAGTCACAAAAGAAAGAGCCATTGTCAGGATTCTTCTTCCAGCAGAGGTACCCGTATTGTTCTGATGACATAAAAACTATAACCTATGTTCCTGTTGAAAGGAAAGGATTGCGGCAGGATGTCTTTGCTTTTCTCCCTCAGGATGTCGTGGTGTTAGCATCATGCAATGGACTACTTTGTTGTCGAAGTTGCTACCCCTTTGAAGATCCAGCTATCTATGTCTGCAACCCTTTGAACAGTGATTGGTGGAAACTAGATTGGAAGGAACCTGACAAAGAAAGCTTCATTGCGCTGGCGTTTGATCCCTTCCAGGATTTCTCTGTCAATTCGAAAAATTTCAAGGTTGTTAGACCAAGGAAGTTGGAGACTGAGGAGGAAGAAGCATACTCATTTGAGATATATACCTCAAAGACAAGGAATTGGAAGCTATCAAAAGAGGTTTGCTGGTGTAATAACAGTTTATCCAAGAATGGAGGTGTTTTTATTGGAGGGATCTTACACTGGCTCACTGATGGTGGCCAAATACTGACTTTTAATGTAGAGAATGAAACAGCTTTGCTGATTTCAATTCCACTACCAGCTGGAGAGTTTAATTGTACACCTCAAGCTTGCATTGGAGAATCTGAAGGTCGACTGTATTATGTACTGATCTCTGAAGGACTTCACGTATGGTTTCTTGAGGATTACCATGATTCTACTTGGTCTCTCAAGTACTCCAAAACTCTTTCGCAGATGGAGTTTTATTCTACTTGGTCTCTCAAGTACTTCAAAACTCTTGCGCAGAAGGAAACGGAACACTCGGCGTTCATGGTCAATTTATACGATAGAATGATGCACTGGCCGAGAATTGATGATAGCCCGTTGTTGGATCCCTTGGCCTTCAAAGACGGGGTCTTAGTAGTAAGGGTATCCAGTACCATCTACTTATATCATGTTGAGACTAGCAAGATGGAGGAAGTTGGCGAGACTTAAAAGTTTGGTGCAATTTCCTGGGTTTCCCCTATAGTGCTTCCCTATACCATGAGCTTGGTTTCTCTAGGTCGTCAATTGGGGTCACCTTAATTTTCATTCTCTGCTGACTATGAGCTTATGAATGGTGAAATTACTGTCTTGCAGATGCAGTTTACAGGCTTGTATATACATGGTCTTTTTTTTGGCATTTTGTTGCTGGATATGTATGTATGGGGACATATAGCTTAGGAAAGTAGTGCGAGACAGGATTCTCAAATCAGCAGGCCAGTTTCGAATTTGAGCTCTTTTGGATCTTCACACTGTTAATTATGCCTGAAGGAATCATCTTTTGTCCAAGATGACTTTACTTTCGAATTACTATATAGTTTCAGCTTTACTAGTTGTTATTTGTTAAAAATTTTATAATGTTTGTGATTCTTATAAGTTCATTTTAATCAGTAACGTTTTGATTATCATGCTCTCCTTCCATTGGGATTCAGAACCATCCACAGAACTTGGTGATTTTGCTCAATTAGTTAGTCCCGTGTCTGGAAATGGATCTTTAATGCCAAGTCTGAAACCAAGTGGATTTATTTTTTGTCCCATAATCCCCCACTAGTATATATATCATCAAATGTCATATCTGTGTACTTATTTTTATTCATCCTTATTTGTCTCGATTTTTTTAAGTATATGTTATATTCTTCATATTCTTCATATGATATATCCTCCAATACAATACTTATATGGCAAGTCGGTCTTTTTATCGGATAACTTCGTCCTCGAGCCCGAGGTTTTAATTTTTTCACAGTAGCGCCTTCATTGACTTCGGCTTTACTAATGACTAAATTGGCTTCATTGAAACCCATATTGTGACTAGCATTTGCTGCTGCGGAATAAACCAATTTAAAAATGGGATAACATGCTCGATAAGGCATGAGTTCGAGTATCATAAGTGTTTCCTCATAGGAACGTCCACGAATCTGATCAATTATTCTTCGCGCTTTGTGAGCAGACATACATATATATTGCCCTAAAGCGGATGCTTCATATGGCTTCTTTTTTCTCTTCTTTATCATAGGGTTTACCTCTTACTCTTAATCTTAATTCTTACTCTTAAAATTTAAGAAAATATAAAAATAAATATAAATAATAAACTAATAATGAACGATAAGCATCTATATTTTCCTTTTCAAATTCTAATATTTATTAATTATTAAGGAATTAACGACGAGATTTATTATCATTTTTTGCATGTCTCCGGAAATTGAGAGTAGGTGCAAATTCTCCCAATTTATAGCCCACCATACGATCTGTTATATAAATAGGTAAATGCTCCTTCCCATTATGGATAGCAATAGTATGGTCGATCATTGTGGGTATAATGGTAGATGCCCGGGACCACATTACTATTAAATTTTTTTCTGCCTTTGTGTTAAGTTTATTTATTTTTCTTAATAAATGATTTGCTACAAAAGGATTTTTTTTTAGTGAACGTGTCATAGTTAATTTCTCTTTCTTTTTTTTTTGAAAAGATGAAGAAACAAATTCTATTTTTTCTCCTATTTACTACGGCGACGAAGAATCAAATTATCACTATATTTATTCCTTTTTCTACTGAAGTTAAAAAAACTTTGTTGGCTGCCTACTGAAAGGGTTAGAAGGTTTATCTTAAATATAAAGCTAACTGCAAAAGATAATTCTTAAAGAACTTAATTTCTGCAGCTCCTGACCTCTTTCAGCAAATGGGTTACTGAAAGCGTAAGATGTTTTGCATGCTCTGTCAATCTTTTTCATGTAGATTAGGTATCATATTTAGGTAAGGCAGTGGGCCCACAGATTAATCTCATATTTTATCTATTAAAAATTACTATATTTATTACTTATTGAAAATCATTAATTGTCTATACTCGTTTATCCGCTAATTTTTTTTCTTAAATTAAAGTTTTTTTTTTTCAATTTGTTTCATTTGAGTTTTAAAATATTTTTTATAAAAGTTTATTTTTTAAAAAATTATGTAAATACAATTTTTTATAAATAATTTTAAAAATTATAAATAAAATATTTTAACATGACATAATAATTAATAATTTTTTAATTTATGTAAAAAATTAAATAGAACAATTTTTTTTAAGACAGAAATAGTATATAGGATCTTAATAGGTGCTGTCAAAAAAAAAAAAAAAAAAACCTAAAAATTCCTTACTATTTAAGCACTTTTTACCTCACCACAGATGGGTCAGGTTAAAACACGAGATTGAAAAGGCTGTCATTGCTATGATCACTTTATCACAAAAAACCAAATTAATCCAAGTGGGTATTTTCTATTGTATACATACGTACAATCTACCTTCTCAATCTAATTATTAATTTACTGTTTGGACTTTATATCCAGAATCTGTAACAAATTAATCCCTGAACCTTTTCTTCTTTTCTCTTTCACCCCACTTTTTGCTCTTTCATTCTTTCTACTTGCACACAGAATACTAGACAGCAAACTGATAATTGGTCAATATATACAAACCAAAAGTATTATTTATAAACACAAAATCCTATAACAAACCTAATAAAACTTTAATGTCAATAGAATTCTTTTATAATACAAATTGGTCACTATGTATGTTGTTCAAATTTTCTTAATGCTAGGTATGCTATTTTTATTCATTTGAGAATTCAAATCCAGTCATACTTTTTTATTTAATTATAAGCAATATTTTTAATCCATCATTAGATTTTATTTTATTGAATTAAATCTATGCGTTCTTTTTTAGTCTTATATATATATATATATATATATATATATATATATATATATATATATATATATATATATATATATATATATATATATATATATATGTTACAAACACAACACACGAGATTTGTCTAGTTAGAATTGAAACTTGAATTTAATATCATCAATTTCCCTAAGAGTACTTCACAAAAAAAAAAAGGTTAATTACTTTACTCCAAGTTTTACTTATTTGATGTTGATTTAAATTAATCTTAACAAAACTTAATTACATGACTCCAAAAAAAAAAAAAATTGCTTACAACACTAGTACCAAATCCAATTATAATCACAGCTGGGCTATTTTTGGGAGGGTTTTATGAATAACTCTTACTATTAAGAACATGTCAATTTCAACTTTCAATCCAATTCAAATTCAAAGAAAAGAAAAACCTAAGAAATATTGTAGGAAAGAATGAAAAATAAAAAAAACATAGTGTAAAAAAAAATACAACCTACACATGCATATGTAAATACTATATTTTTGATTCATCAATAAGAGAAATTGCTAATTTCTTTTGTTTATTTTAAAATTTTTATTTTAATATTTTTTTAATGTTAATGGGTAAAAGATGAATATCAATATGGTAAAAAAAAGATACCTATATTCATAAATAGATTGTCTATCAACATAAGTAGATAATAATATTTTACTCATATTTAACTCATTACCCATTAAGGTATTTTAAAAGAATAATTAATAAATGTACTGGACAAAGCACCTATTTGTACCCAGCCCACTGCTGTCCTTAAATTCATATCTCTGTCCCATATTTCTTAGTGTCTGCAGAGTTTCTTTTGGCAATTCAATCCTTTTAACACTAGTTTGTAAATTTTAAAAGGTTTGGCGAGCCATAACAAGGAGTATATTCTGTGATATTGCATAATAATACTTGCATTAACTAAAAGGATTAATTACACTGATATTTTTTTTTCCCAACTTCAGTATCTCAACTTCTTAAAATCATCCATTAACTGCGTACTTGGAAGAGGGTTAACAAATTCCATTAAGTAGCTTATCTGCTATCCAAATTAAAGAAAGCATATATCTAGACGGTTTTCGAACAATCCAAGGATTAAGACCCTTCCAGACACGGATTTCTGCATCATGTCACTTGAAAAAATGGCAGCTGCCATTAGACACCAATGGTATGATAATTAACCATAATGAAAAGGGGGCTAAGGTCTCATGATTTGGTGGAGCTCCTCTTTAGGGCTCTTGCAGACTTGAGCTGAAAAGGGCATGAGCATCACTTCTGTTTTATGCCCTTTGTAACTGAGCTTTGGCCTTTTGTTCTTCAACTCCATCCCCAGATTAATTCTTCCCAATAGAATTGGGGTGAGCACTATTAAACTGAAATACAAAATAGAACTAAAATATCAATTTGGTTTGGTTTTTAACCACCACCCCCCCCCCCAAAAAAAAAAAAAAAAAACTGAATCTTTTTTTTTTCAATTTGGTTTGTTTTTAGAATTTTTGGTTCGGTTTAAACTGAAAACCAATTTTTTTCTATTTTTTTTTTAATTTTTAGTATAATACAAATAAATTAAAAAATAACTACCTTAACATTATATGAATAATTAGGTTTTTATGACTTGATTTTATGATACCAAAACATATGTTTATATACACAAAAGAGTCCTAAACATTAGGACTTGTTTCATATTTTAAAGAAAAAATCTTACCTAATCTATTCTAAATAAAAACATTAAACATATAATTAATTACACATTGATTTATAGCCTAATTCATAAATATTTTATAGCAAAGAATCTTAACACTCCTTGCCAATCCTCCTCGAAGTCACATCCCGAAATTCACAAACATGAAAAGGAAAATTAGTTAGACATTTAAGATCTTGGGTAGTTTTATTTATGGAGAATAGGTTTTAGTCTAGATTAGGAACATATAAAATAAATTTGGGTGTTATGTCTCTAGATATCATAATCGAACCAATCCCTTCAACTTTTGCCAAAGAACCATATGTAATCACTACAAAAAAAAAAAAAAAAAAGAATTAGCCACGGTCTAGACAAGTAGCTAATTCACCAAAATTCGTCGCTAATTTTAATTAGTGACGGATTTGCGATGGTCCAAAAATCGTCGGTAAAATGCCGGTCGTTAAAATTTTACGATAGTTTTTGGATCGTCGCTACTTTAGCAACGAAAAAAACCGTCGCAAAATTAAAAAACCGTCGCAATTTTATGACGATTTTAGCGAGGTTTTAGACTCGTCGCTAATTCCATCACAAAAATGTTAGCAACGGTCTTAGCATCGGTCCGGACCGTTGCTAAAATATTATTCTTATTTTTTTATCCTTATTTTAAATTGACTAATTGTTAATTTTATCGTAAAAAAATTAGCAACAATCTAGACCGTCACTAATTCCATCGCAAAAAAAAAAAAAAAAATTAGTGACGGTCTTAGCAACGGTCTAGACCATTGCTAAAATATTATTATTATTATTTTTATCCTCATTTTAAATTGACCGATTGCTAATAACTTATTAACAAATTTTTAAAATAATTAACTTTCCAAAATACCATCAATTAAACTAACTAAATTAATAAATAACATTTAACAATAAACTAACTAAATTAACGAGATAAAAATTACCGATTAATAATAACAATTAATAATTAAATTAACAACAAACATTAATAACAATAAAATTTCCTTAAAAATAAAATTAATAATTAAACAATTAATAACAATTAACATTTCTTAACAATTAACAATAACAAAAAAATTTAAAATTAAATTAAGTAAATAATTGAAAAAATTAAAAAATTAATTAAGAGGTTGGATGAGGGAGGACTTTTCACCAACACAAGGAGGAGAGTGGGTTGCACCGGTGGAGAGGCTTCGTCGGACTATTCGAGTCGAAAAATGGCCGGTTGAGGAAGGGGGAGAAAGGAAGAAAGAAAGAGGAAAAGGAGAAAGAAAGGGGGAGAGATGGAGGGGAGAAAGGGAAGGAGGAGATTGGAAGGAAAATAAAAAAGAGAGGGGGAAGATTTAATGGAAATGGAAGGGAGATCGACGACTGGAGAAGAAGAAGAAGAATAGATAGAGGAAATTTTTTCTTGTAAATTTTTAGGCAAATTGTTATATAAGAGGTTGAAAGTTTTAGCGACGGTCTAAAAGCCGTCGCTAAAACCATAGCTAAATGTCTAAAAAAATTCAAAAAATAGCCATTTCCTTCTTAATTAGCAATGGTTTAGCGACGATTTTTAGACCGTCGCTAATTTACTAATTTTATGATGTTTTTTGATTAAAAAACCATCGCAAAAAAGGCTCAAAGTAATAATTTTTTTTAAAAAAAACATAAAATTAGCGATGATTTTTTTTGGAGGAAACCGTCACAAAAAACCATTGCTAATTTCCATGATTAGCAACGATTTTTTTATAAAAAACCATCGAAAAAAGCCGTCGCTAATTTCTCTCATTAAAAGGCTTCAAACCTTCACAATTTTAGTAAAGTAACGATGGTTTTGAGACCGTCGCTAATTTCTCCTCGCAAATCCTTTGTTTTTTTTGTAGTGAATTCTAATTGTAAGAGCATCATTACGGGGAAAATATATGTGAAAAACTTGCCTACCTCATGTCATGTGATCGGAAGCACCGCAGTCTATAATGCAAAGCTTATAGAGAGCTCTTGTTTGAAAATCAAAGCTTTAAGAAAATTACCTTTTTGAGCTATGGAATCTAACCTAATAATTGATGGATTTTTTTATTGTCATTGCGGTAGCCTTCTCAATTCATCAAGTTCTATTCTACTAAGAGTTACAACCTACACCTGAATTGCTTACCATATGCCTCGAATTTCATTCTCTACTCGTTGTTTTTGGCTTCTAATCAATAGGTTTTTCATGGAGTTTCCAACGGAGTTTCTTTGGTATAACCATGGTGACGATAATGTTCACACCATGGCCTTCTCCTTTTGCGTGCTTGTTGTCGATTTCGGACCACCAAGGCTAATGACTCACCACCGGTAATTGATTTTTGTATCCCTAGCATCAAATGGCATCTCTTTTTTCCCTTTGGACTTCGGAGAAGACTTCGCATATGCTTGGTACGTAGTGGTTTTGTGCTAAATATCCTTTTTTTACAACATTAAGACTAGAATTCAAGCCCAAGCAAAATTTATAGACCCTCTTGTTCTCTATGATCTTTTTGTGCTATTTGAGATCATTAGTAGTGTCCCAAGAATATTTTTCAGAATCATCCAATTGCTACTACCTCTCGTTGGAGTTTGTTGTAATACTCGATCACGGATAAGTCACATTGTCGGAGATTGTGTGAGATGCTCTCAATTGTCACTAGTTTGAGGGTGTTGTCTTTATGAGAAAAAGTGTCTTTTGTTACTTTTCATAAAGGAGAAAATTTTCTCTTATATGTGGCCATATGGAATCACTAACCAAGAAATAACCTAGCTATTATTTCTCTTATAGATCCCGTTATTAGTATTTTTTTCATCTAGTTTGGTGATATTTCGATCGGATAATCTTTTTTCTCCTTGTTGCGGACATGAAACATGAAGGATTGAGACCATTAGATATAGTTTCTATCACTCAGATTGTAGATGATGGTAGGTGCGAGATGAGTCTCTCCCATGGTTGTTGAATACAACGAGTTTCAATGTTAAAGGATTTTAGGATTTTAATTGAAGATTCGTTGGTGCTTGTCATGTTTGGTCATTAACGTTGCTGCTTGGAATGAGATAAAGGATGGGTTAGTTGATGAATATTGTTGGAACAAGGAGTGTAGAAGGTTGTCGAAATAAGTAGTAGATGAAGAATTGGTCTAGTACGGCTATGGAAAGAACATGAGGTGTCTAGGGTTGCTATGATACCGTGTGAATAATTAGGTTTTAATGACCTAATGTTATTCCATCGTAACATATGTTCATAGACATTAAATGAATCCTAAACATTAGGACTTGTTTTTCATTTTAAGGAGAAAATCTTGCCTAATCTATTTTAAATAAGAAAATAGACATACATCTAATTACACATTGACTTACAACCTAATTCATAGCTATTTTATAGCAAAGAATCCCAACATATTATTATAGATATATGATGGATTGATGATGTTTTTTTTATCTATTTATATTATTTAAAAAATAAAAAACAAATAGTAACTCTGTTTGTATTCGGGTTTGCTTTTTATTTTTATAGGTTTGGTTAACTAAAAACTAAACTCGGAAAAAGTGAATGATCACCCTAACTTCGAGATGCTCATTAGTAATGTTAAAAATAAATAATTTTTTTATATTAATACTATTTATAGTTAATAAACATATTATAATAAGTCTATATCGTATTATTTAATAACTACTAGTTACATTTAAAATCCATAACAAATATAATATCTCTACAAGATAAACAATTATATCACATCGAAGAAAAATTTTATTGCTAGTACTTAATAATTTCACAATCATAGCTACTTACAATATTAAGTTATAATTTTATTAGAAAGTTAGGTAAATTGATTTTTTTAAAAAAAGTTTAAATGTTGACATTGGATATTAAATAAGTTTTTTTGAGGTTTGTTTACATGAATCCACACACACACATCATTTTCTTTCCAATAGATTTTACGAACCGTAGTGTATATGCATATACAAATAAGTGAAAAATTAGTGTGTAACTCATTTCAATTAACTTTTCAATGGATAATTAGTGTATGTGAATATACAAATTAATAACAACTCAATAAGGATAATCATGTGTTATTAAATTAGTTCATTATTATGACATCAATTATGTAGCAACTAAATACGAAAGAGATTTTAATGGATAATTTTTAAGAATATATTAATTACTTAATAAGCATGAATGATATATGATGTCTTGATCTTGTTTACTATTGTTAAATTGAATAATAACTATGAACATAATATAAAAATAAATATTTTATAATTTGTAATAATGATATTTGAAGATACGATCATATTTTTATCAACCATATTTAGTATATGATAACTAAGGATGTGTTTGATAACTTATTTAAGTAGATTAAAAAATTAAGTGGTAATACTTAATATAAAAAGTTTGTTTGATAATTTAAATAATCTCATATTTAAAATTTAAATTCAGTCAAAATCTACTTTAATTAGGTAAGCTAAATTTTTTAACTTAAAACTTTTTTTATTAGCATGCTCAGTTGAAATTTTTTAAATTTTTTTTAAATATGACTATATAATCTCCGTATATTCTTATAACCCTAGCCAATTTCAATGAGATTAGGGTGCTTCATGACAAAAAGAGCATAATTGGAAAATGGGTTTTGAGAGACACGGAGAATAGGAGAGTGGTAAATTTTGGGAATGGGTTTTGAAGTTGATACCCTCAATGAGAAATCCTTTTGAAGCCCAGGTGTTGTCCCTCATTTCTTTGGCATCCCTCCCTCCCTTTGCTACTTCTACTTCGCTTCCACCTCTAATTAGGGTTTTACTAATAAGTGTAAGATATTATAAAAGAAGGAGGAGATTATATGGTTTATGCCAAGGAAGAAAGAGATGGAAGGTTAGGAAAGGAAGATAGATTAGATATTAGAAAGCTAGATAGATAAATAGATAGATAGATGAGAGGAAGGACAAGTGCAATTGCTAGATAAAAGGAAATTGGATTTGAAAATAGATATTAAAATATAATAAGAAAAATCTTGCTTTAAAAGTTTTCAAATTTTGAGGCTTTAGAAATTGAATTTGACAATACACATTGATTTTTTTTTTATTAATAATCATTTTTATTGAATTTTTATTTATTTATTTATTTATACACACAAACACATCTATGTATATATTTTTATTTGTGTTAAAAAAATATCATGTTACAATTATAAATTTAAAATTGTCATGTATATATCCTTAATATATTCAACAAAAATATTTTTCAAACAATATATTTTTATTTGTGTTAAATTACATTTTTCACACAAGCTTATAATATTCAGCATTTAATTTTCAATAAATATCAAAGAGTTTGTTAGCAATATATTCGAGTACTTAATTATTCAAGCACTTAAAATTCAGCATTTAACAGATTTTGCATTTAATTTTTAGTTTTATCAAACAACACCAAAGTTAAAAAAATAAACTACAAGAATGTCATATAGAATTAGTACTTGTTAGGTTGTAAATTTATTAGAATGTTGGGTAAATTGATGTTTTTTTTTAAGTTTAAACGAGAACATTGGATATTAAGTAAGTCTTTGTCAGGTTCGTTTACATACACACATACAATATGTTCTTTCTAGTAGATTTTATGCATTTTAGTGTATATGCATATTCAAATAAGTGAATAATTAGTATGTAACTCATTTTAGTTAACTTTTCAATGAATAATTAGTGTATGTGAATATACGAATTAATAACAACTCAATAAGGGTAATTAATCTTGTTTTGTTGAATTAGTTCATTATTATAACATTAATTATGTAGCAACTAAATACGAAAGAGATTTTAATGGATAACTTATAAGAATCTATTAATTACTTAATAAGCATGAATGATATTTGATATTTTGATCTTATTGTGTTAGATCATATTTACTATTGTTAAATTGAATAATAACAATGCACGAAATATAAAAATAAATATTTTATAATTTGTGATAACAATATTTGAAGATACGTACGGTCATGTTTTTATCAACCACATTTAATAAATGGTAACTAAGTTAAAAAATAAACTACACGAATGTTACACAGAATTATAACTTAATTCATCTAATGTACTATACATGCGTTATACATTATTCCAGTTACTATACAATCATATGCTATTCCATTAATTATATATAAAAAAATACAGTAAATTCAAGTAATAATAAATTAATTATAAACGTTGTATGATATGAAAAACAACTTAAATATCAAATTATGAGATTTATGTCATTTGAACCTTTAACTAAAAGATTAATTTATTGCTTAAAGATATTTGACTTTTAAGTTTAGAATAAAGTATCACACACGTTTAGGAATATATTAAAGTTAACATAATGACTATATATCACGTTATTTTAAACTTATGCCTTGCAAATCCTCTAAATCTATGCAATTTCGCATCGTTAAACTCATGTTATATACAAATCTCATATCATATACATAAAATTAGTACTCTCTTTCCATTTCCTAATCAGTAATCATTTTGCTCATATCTCGAGCAAAAACATCACAAATGAAAGTGCCCATTTTTCAGTCAACGTGGGACCTACTTTAAAACCCTAACCTCTACATCAGACCGTTGTTTTCGAAGACAAGGCACTTGATCTTGATCAGACGATCAAAACCAACTTGGTGTGTACGGTGACAGTGTGTACTGAAATAATGCCTTCCAAGTGTCAAGCACTGGAAATTCGTCTGAAAATATACATTAGCTAGCTGCTGTCAGTACTCTCCAGAAAGCTGACACTCTATGTCCATTTCCCCTTCACGCTTTTTAGTCCTTGGAGAGAGAAGCAGGGTTAATAGAGAGAGACGATTTCTTGTGGTGGGTTTTCTGGATGTCTCTTACTTTCTCGAGGGTAAGAAAGAAGAAATCTAAAGCAGACATTTTTATTGTTGATAGCTAAGAGGTTTATGATATTGGTTTTGTTAATCTCTTTCTCGTCGCTCATTATTGCCTGATATGGTACCATGTAGCTTTGTGCTTTTTAGTCTTTGTTTGGTTGGCAAGAAACCGCAACAAAACTTTTTTGTTGATTTTTTTCCCTTAAAACCCATCAATGTTTTAAATATTGATGATGTTTTTTGTTTGTCCGTCTTCCATTTTGTTTTTATGAAGCCTATAAGGGTCTGTTTGTTTGTGTGGAAAGAGACTGAAAATGAAACTTTTAACATAAACCTTTCATGACTATTTGTTGCGACACCGAAGGACTTTTTTTTTTTTTTTTAATGGGTCGTTGACGCTTCAGAAATCTGATTATTCTTTTGTGCTGGCCTTATTTGATATAAACATATTTTGTTGTTGTTGTTTTTTTTACCCTCTTTTCTCTGCGTTTGATTTATGGTTTTTTACTTGGATGAAAAGAAAAATAGTAATTGCATGTTCTGTTTGGATGATGAGAAAAAGAGGTCATGAATTTCTTATAAACTTTGGAAAGTGTTGGGGATTGGACTGATTTATTTAAAAAAAATAATAATAACAATATTCGTTAATAAACATTTAAAACAATGAACATACTGAGTTTTTTTTGAAAGGTTTCTTGGCTACCAAACAGAGCCATAAAGTTCTTGTCAGGATATTGGAATTTTATTATGAGCAGTAAACACTTCTGTTTTGGTGCTTATTTGCTTCTTGTCAAAACAAAATGCATTTAATTAGGAATGATGATATGTATGTTGTACTAGAGGCCTTCATGTTTGTTTGTTTGTTTCCCAAGAACACATAGCATCATTTGTCCTCTATATATAGTCATGAATTTAAAAGGGATGTGATTTATTTCTGATAAATTTGCTTGAACTCAGGGTTCATTGTTCTTGATTGACTAAGTGGCATTGAGAGACCTTTTCTTACGTTTAATGTATTGCTACCATCCACTTCGTATGCTTGATGGAGGATTCTGATAAACTTGGGCCTTCTTTTCTTGGGTGGCTATTTGTGATGGATTTGATAATTTCATTTCATTTTGCTTTTATGTTTCCATCGTACCTTATTTTTGCCTCTAACGTGCGTATCCTCTTCTCTTATATATGTTTTCATCTTCGATCACTTTATTTATTTTTTTTCTTTTCCGAGAAATTTCTTCACTGTAATTTTATTATAGGAGTCATGCAAAACAGGAAAAACACCAGTTCTGAAGCATTAAAAATCATTGAGACACTGGCTAGGTATATATACATAAATATACATACATATATATATGCATATAGAGAGAGAGAGAGAGAGAGAGAGAGATGGTAGCTGTGGAGTGGGGATGTTCATTTCCCACTAACTATTTTGCTGATAAATCATTATTTGTGCAATGAGACTCATTATTTTACCTGAATAAAGAAAGAAACATGCTCTATCATATTACTCCTGTCTTATGTCTTCTTGAAATTCAAGACTCAATGACTGCATTCGTTTTTCTGCGATTTAGGAAATGGCAGATGTTGGGTGCTTGAACACTGATATTCCGTTTGATGTGCTCTCCCGACTGCAAACGAAAGAGTTGCTGGGATTGAAGTGTGTCTCTAAAGGATGGAACCACCTTATATCTGATCTCTCATTCATCCAGGCTCAGTCACAAAAGAAAGAGCCATTGTCAGGATTCTTCTTCCACCAGAGGTATCGGTATTGTTTTGATGACGTAAAAACTATCACCTATGTTCCTGTTGAAAGGAAAGGATTGCAGCAGGATGTCTTTGCTTTTCTGCCTCAGGATGTCGTGGTGTTAGCGTCATGCAATGGGCTGCTCTGTTGTCGAAGTTGCTACCCCTTTGAAGATCCAGCTATCTATGTCTGCAACCCCTTGAACAGTGATTGGTGGAAAGTGGATTGGAAGGAACCTGACAAAGAAAGCTTCATTGCTTTGGCGTTTGATCCCATACAGGATTTCTCTGTCAATTCGACAAATTTCAAGGTTGTTAGACCAAGGCGATTAGAGACTGAGCAGGAGAAAGCATACTCATTTGAAATATATTCCTCAAAGACAAGGAATTGGAAGCTATCAAAAGAGTTTTGGTGGTGTAATAACAGTTTATCCAAGAATGGAGGTGTTTTTATTGGAGGGATCTTACACTGGCTCACTGATGGTGATCAAATCCTGACTTTTAATGTAGAGAACGAAATAGCTTTGCTGATTTCAACTCCACTCCCAGCTGGAGAGTTTAAATGTACACCTCAAGCTTGCATTGGAGAATCTGAAGGTCAGTTGTATTATGTACTGATCTCTGAAGAAGGACTTCATGTATGGTTTCTTGAGGATTACTTTGATTCTACTTGGTCTCTCAAGTACTCCAAAACTCTTACGCAGATGGAAAAGGAACACCCGGGGTTCATGCTCAATTTATATGATAGAGTGATGCACTGGCCGAAAATTGATCATAGCCCGTGGTTGGATCCCTTGGCCTTCAAAGACGGGGTCTTAGTAGTAAGGGTATCCAGTACCATCTACTTATATCATGTTGAGACTAGCAAGATGGAGGAAGTTTGCGAGACTTCAAAGTTTGGTCCAATTTCCTGGGTTTCCCCTATAGTGCTTCCCTATACCATGAGCTTGGTTCCTTTAGGTCGTAAATTGATCATTAGGTCACCTTAATTTTCATACTCTGCTGACTATAAGCTTATGAATTGTGAAGCTACTGTCTTGCAGATGCAGTTTACAGGCTTTTTTTTGCTTTTTTTGCTGGTATATACACGAGGATGTATATATAGCCTTATATAGCTTAGGAAAGTAGCGAAGCAGGATTCTCAAATCAGTAGGCCAGTTTTGAATTTGAGCTCTTTTGGATCTTCAAACTGTTAATTATGCCTGAAGGAATCCTCTTTTGTCCAAGATGACTTAACTTTTGAGTTACCATATAGTTTCAGCTTTACCAGTTGTTATTTGTTAAAAATTTTATCATGTTTTGTGATTCTTATAAGTTCATTTTAATCAGTACTGTGTTGATCATCAACTTCTCCTTCCATGGGAATTCAGAACTATCCACAGAATTCAGAACTTCCATGGTGATTTTGCTCAATCAGTTAGTCTTCTGTCTGGAAATGGATTTTTAATGTGAAAGAAAGGTGGAAGTACTGAAGATCAACAACTGTGTTGGCTGCCTACTGAAAGGGAAGAATGTTTCATCTCAAATATAAAGCTAACTGCAAAAGATGATTCTTGAAGAACTTAATTTCTACAGCTCTTGACATTTTTTCTGCAACTGGATTACTGAAAGAGTAAGATGTTTTGCATTCTCTGTCAATCTTTTTCATCTAGATTATGTATCATATTTCTGCCCGATATTTCTTAGTGTCTGCAGAGTTTCTTTTGGCCTTTCAATCCTTTTAACACTAGTTTGTAAATTTTAAAAGGTTTTTGGAACAGGGTTAACAATTTCCATTAAGTGGCTTATCTGCTATGCAAAGTAAGCACATATCTAGACACTTTTTCAACAATCCAAGGATTAAGACCCTTCCACACACAAATTTCTGCATCATTTCACTTGAAAAATGGCAGCCGCCATTAGAAGCCAATGGTATGATAATTAACCTCAACTGAAAAGGGGGCTAAGGTCTCATGATTTGGTGGAGCTCCTCTTTAGGGCTCTTGTAGACTTGAGCTGAGAAGGGCATGAGCATCACTTCTGCTTTATGCCCTTTGCAACTGAGCTTTGGCCTTTTGTTCTTCAAATGGAATTTTTTATTTATCTTGTACTTTAGTTTGAAAAAAAAAAAAAAAAAACCTAGCTGAAAACCCTTAAAAAACCGTAGATAGGAAGAAGGTGATGAAGGGGGAGGGGATTGGGGTTAATGCTTAGATGAGAGAGGTGTTTAGGGATAGTATTGGATTGAGAAAAAAAACTTATATTTATTTTATTTAACTCAATAAATATTCATTAAAAACATCCAATAGATATTGAAGAAGATAATGTTAAAAAAATACATACCTATTAGCATGATTTCAAGATATAAATACTTATTCTTTACCATATTAATATCCATTAATTTATTTAGATTTTTTTTATTAATATGTAGGAATCTAATTGTATAAAATTTTAAAATTAAGGATCAAAATATTTCTTCTAAAAACTTTGAGGACCAAACAAACTTATAAATAGATGACCAAAATGCAAAAAAAAAAAATAAGGATAAAAAAACTTTTCTTAAAATTTAGAGGAATTAAAATAAATATTTTTGATAAATTAAATTTAACATGTATTTAATATGTATTAAATGGACAAGTAAATTAGTATAAACCAGTTATGCGTTATGTAAAGATTTATATGATGATTTCTTAATTAGTAATAGATAGAGTATTCTTTTGATTGGTAAAATAAAAAATTAAACTAATAAGTTGGGTACCCATTCATTCCCATTCCTAGAGGGTTTAGGGTCAAGAATTTTTTTTAATGAGAGAATTACACAAAATCTTTGTCTTTCCAAAGTTTTCAAAAATTGTTGTGGGTTTTTATTTTTATTTTGAGAAGCAGGTTTTTATTTTATTGAAAAAAAAATAAGTTTATAGGAAACAGAAAATAAAAATAAACCAAATAACCCCATTTTTATACGATTTTATTTTATAAAATAAAAGTAGTGATAAAACTCAAATAAATAGATTCATACAGTAATTTAATTCTTCGAAAAGAATTCTATCGATTACTCAATAATTTGGAGATACTCTTGCAGGAAGAAATTATAATTTTCTCCATAGCTTTATATATATATATATATATATATATATATATATGGGAGGTTTCAAAAAGTAATTTTACTATTTTTACAATTTGCAAATATTGAACCATGAAATTCTACATTCCTAGTTTCCAAACATGCTATATCGTAATTGAACGATAAGATTTCATTTTCCTGATTTCAAGTCCGGTTTATTTTTCCTTTTGTTTGTTGGATTTGTTCTCCCAATTTTACCAATTCTGGCCCTAACTGAAATTCAATTCCAAAAATAAATTGACTTTCCAAGTTGTTGTGACTTTGTCAACTACCACCCTCCCTACTAAGCATCAGCCATTACTCAAAACTATCATTAAAATTTTGAAAAACAAATATACTTTTTTTTACTATTTTGATTAAATATTTTATTACATAGGTTTTGTATCACATTCCAAAAAAAAATTATATTTTAAAATTGATAAATGCTAAATAAAAAATAAAAAATTTGAGAATATTATGACCCATTAGATCATTATCTTAATATAGGTTTGGGTCGCATTAAACTATGAATTATAAATGCTCTCGTTTGGAAAAAAATGAATTAATTGTTTTGTATTGGTTTTAAAAATTAATTATTTAATTTTTTAATCAGTACTAAAAATGATTAATTTAATTTTTTTCATTTAATAAAATATCTTCTTTTCTTATTTTTTTTTATAGTTTAACTTGTTTTTTATTATTTTTTAAAACAAAAAATCAAAATAGATTAAAAAATAACAAAAAGAACTAAATAATTAGTATTTCAAAATGAGGGGGACTAATTTATAATTTACTCTAATGATTAATGTGGATTCTTTAAGTTATTTATTTATTTATTAATGTTTAGCATTATTTTTTAAAACTTAACAAATATAACTGATGAGAGTAATTAACCCAGTCCTTTCATTTCAGAAAAAAAATTACTTAATCTCCTTAGTTTAAAAAAAAAACATTTAGTCCCTTGACCTACTTTTACTGATAAATCTTTGGCAGATCTGTTAAAAAATTTATATGGAAAATTCATAGAAGGAGTAAGTTAAATGGATTTGAAAACATAAATATATGGTTTTTGAAACCAAAAACCACAGGGACTAAATCATAATTTACACGTACTCGTTGGACTTGACATGGAATTCTATGCTTATACGGGAGCACCTATATATTCACCAAAAAAATCTTTTATCTGAAAAAACGTACGCACAATAATTCAAAAATCAGAAAATACCCTGTTAATTCTTAAATAAAAAAGTCATGTCTTCCACCGGCGGCGGAGGCCCCCAGCTCTACTTCTGTCACCAGTGCGACCGAACGGTAAGAATAACCCCATCACCAACCTCCGATCTCTCCTGCCCTAACTGTCATGGAGGTTTCCTCGAAGAATTCGATTCTCCAAACCCTAGCCCTAACCCTTTCGATTCTGGTCTCGGCCCCGGCATCTTACTCGACGAATTCGCCTCCATCTTCGGCGGCGGCATGGCCCCTACTCCTCGATCATCAACCACCTCGACAACAACAAACTCCTCCTCCGCGTCGCCTCTATTTCAAGATCCCGACGGTTTCAATCCTTTTGTCTTCCTTCAAAATTACCTTCAAACCATGAGGGCTGGTGGAGCGAATATTCAGCTTGTGATTGAAAATAATCCTGGTATTGGCGGAATGGACCACACAGGATTTCGTCTTCCGGCGAATCTCGGAGATTACTTCGTCGGACCAGGATTAGAACAACTAATTCAACAGCTTGCGGAGAACGACCCTAATAGGTATGGAACTCCGCCGGCTGCGAAATCTGTGGTTGAGAATCTTCCGGATGTTAAGGTTACGGAAGAATTAATGCAATCCGATTCTTCACAATGTGCGGTTTGTAAGGATAGTTTTGAGCTGGGGGAGGTGGCGAAGCAAATTCCTTGTAAGCATATCTATCATAAGGATTGTATTTTGCCTTGGCTTGAAATGCATAATTCGTGTCCAGTTTGTAGGCATGAGTTGCCTACTGATGATGCTGATTATGAGCAGAGGAAAGGGATTGAGAATGAAAATCGGAACAATGGGAGCAATCAGAATGTGGGTGGTGTAATTAGTGGTGGTGGGTCATTTAGTGATGGTGATAATAATGATGGTAATGCTCAGACTCCGAGAGAGAGGAGGTTTAGGATTGCATTTCCGTGGCCATTTAGTAGTGGTAGTGGTAGGTCGGCTGGACCGTCTGCGGAGGCTAGCAATAGTGGGAGTGGGAACAACAATGATGGGGATTCTAGAGGGAATACCAACTTTGGATCTGAGACTAGAGAAGAGGATCTTGATTGATTAATGCTGCTGGGTACTGTATCTTGTAACCATACAACTTTTTCACTTACTGTTTTTGTTTCTTTTTGTTTTTCTTGTTTTCATTTAGTAATAAGTGGCTGTTTTTGTTAATGCTTGTCAATATAGTTTGGTCTTCTTGATGTTACATTTTTTTGAAATTGAATGTCTGTGATGTAGATGGTTGGCAATGAATTGATGACACAACTGTGAGTTAGGAGTTTATGTGTTCTGTTGATTGCGAAGCAAATGAGAATGACTGTATATCTAGAACCACATCATTTTGTTTGTCTAGATGAGAATTCTTTTTTGTATATGGTTATAGTTCTTACATAGAAAATAGGATTTTACAGTTTTGAATGTTTGGATACAATGTTTTTACTATTGCCATGGTGTCTTGGCATGGTCACTGTGGCAGATGGTTCCTGTTATTTATTTTTGCGCACATCCTTTGCAACATTTGCTTATAAAACAAGGATTGATAAGATTTACAGATGTGTGGCATTGAAATATGGCATGATCGATATGAGCATGAGAGCCAATTGTATACGTCTGACTCTGGTTCCTTGTTATGTTTGCTTAGGAACAGTGCACATGAAAGGCACTAGGGTGCATGATGAGTGCATGTCCTTGTTACTTAGCTGTCCAAAATATAATAGGAATAGGATTTGAATTGGTTGAAGAGTTCTTGCAGTTTGACTTGGGGATTTAAGAGTTTGCTCGTTTAATTTCAGTTATGTCTTTTATATACATATATAAAAGTTGGTTATTCCTTTGAATGTCTAGAATACACATACACACACACACACTACTGTCTTGTGCTGAGAAGACAATGGTTGACCAACAACCTGATGATGAAATGTGAGAAGTCCATAAGCTATTTTTACATCGATGATGTAGTACTCAAGTGTAAACTCTTTAAAGCAATTAGGATAGAATTTGTATCTTTGATGGTTAGTAATCCTAGAGATCTCAATTATGCTAGTTCTATAGGTCACATAGTCTGGGGCCCTCGGTAGAAGTAACAAAGTTAGATTGAATGAAAACAATGTCCTCCCTTTTTTGTCCTTTATGGATGGTTTCTAAATTTGGAATTAAACTAAGCATAGAAGTTGAATACCTTCAAATTTGTGTGTTTGTTTGTCTGAATAATGGATGCCAATGAATGTGGTTTAGCTTGATGTCATGCTGTTATACCTCAATGGTATTTTTTAGTTAAGATAAGATTTTATACCTCAATGGTAGTTTTTAGTTAAGATAAGATTTTATACTGACTACCTTCATCTAGATCTCCCTTCCATCCCCCAACCTCCATGTCTTCACTAGGAAAAATGTATGATGCAGCTGGAAAATACTGTACATTAGTTGTCTAATTACTTCTTGCCACTACAAACTTTTTTTTGTGTGTCTTTAAAGCAATGAATGAAGCATCACTTGGTAGCATATCTGCCTACTAGGCCGTAGTATTTTGGTGTTTTGTGCATGTAAATGGATAATCAATTCATTGATGAAGATATATCAGCTATAGTTTTCTTGCCAAAATCATAGCTTGTGCACCATTCTTTCCTTTTAATCAAGCCAAGTCAGTCATCTCATGTCTCAGCTAAATGAGGCATTTTCTAACATTCTTTGGTTTTAAAAGCTTCAGGATCAAGGAGAGGGAGGGGGATGGATGATTATTTTTTGTTCATTGATCTTTTTCATGCATGGAACTGTTTATAATGCACTCTTGTATATTCATACCCATTTCATGAGTCATGACTAAGCTTGGATTCAGTAAATTTCAGCACGCATAGTTATTTATTCTCTCCTCTTTTTGGCAGGATGACAACTGGTATCTGCAAGGGTTGTTGAAGTTAGAAAGAAATTACACACGTTTACTGAACAGGCGCATTTTCAATGCTTCATGCATGTTGTCAAAAATGTCCATTTTTAACTCAATTTACAGAATTGTTTCTAGTTTCATCACCTCGCTACATATTTATGCTCGACATTGCTTGTTTCTGTAAAGTCCTTTTGTCTGAGCACAATGCGCCTTTTTAAATTGCATTTGTTCGTCGACTCTTTGAAATGTATTTTTAAGCAATATAATTATAAGTGCATGTATAATCCTTTCCTTTTTGAGCAGTAGAGTGAAATATTTAGCAGGTCCAGCAACGGGCGGGCGCAATTTGAATGTCTTTAATAGATGGAGTGATCGTGTACAAGTATGATTTCTTTCAATTTTAGTCTGGCAGTATGTTCTTTTAGTTTACCAGCTCCATGCCTGTGTTGGTTCCTTCAGTCGAAAGCGTTGCTGCAATTGTTTAATTTTGTCGAGTTCTATAAATTGTTCAGCATCTTACTTCGGTTCCAGGGTTCCCCTTTTCGCTCGTTTTTCCCAAATCAGTGGAAATATAGAAATTGAAAGAGCCTCATTTTTCTTTGTTTTTTAGGGTTAATGGATCAATCTGTTAAGATAATTTTTCAATTTGTTTGCATATCTTTAATTAAATTAATTTTATCTTTGAATATATGTTAAGTGTTTAATATGTTTTTGGGTTAAGTCTTTTAGGTTAAATTACCAAAATTAGTCATACGATCTGTGGATAACATCCATTTATTTGACTAGTTTATAAGGGTATTTTGAAAATAAAAAATTAATCATGTGTAAATTATGAGAATAATTTTGATAAATTAAGAATATATTAGTTAATTATTTTATTATATAAAAATAGATTCAGCTATTGACTTCTTTTTATTTTTTATTTTTTTTTACTGTCTCCTTTTGTCATACGTCACTGCATGTATGGAAGTGCAAAATAGGCCTAGAATTTCAGAAATTGGATTCTCATCTGGTCCAACTTCTGAGTTCAAATGTTTAATTTTTTTCAAAAAATCACCGGGTTTTGTTTTGGGTATTTCATATAAAATAGAAATTCCAGGCTTTAGTTTCCAATGAATCTTAATAGAGAATTAATTTTCAAAGATCAAGTATAATCAATTAGAAGCAAGTAAATTCGATGTTACAAGGAGAGGTATGGCTTGGGACCCAAGTAGCCATCAAAGCTATGTAGTTTTTAAGCAAGCATCATCGAAGTTGACTAGAATAAGGAATTGGAACTGAAAAGTTACAAATTCCAAATTTGAAGTAAATTATTATTCAATCTCATCCCTAAAAGATTTTTAATTGCGTTTATTTGTTCCTTTAAACTTTGGAATTGGGTTCATGGCATGTTGCCCTTAGCTGTAATGTGGTTTTTATCAACATCTATCCCCATCTTAATTATTTGAACTGATTTATAATATATTTTTGTATGGCCAATTCATTAAAAATAATCTTCATATTAATAGATAAAGATCACTTTTGTCAAAAAAGAAAAATAATTTTTTCAAATCTTCTATTATGTGTAAATCATATGCTTATTTTTTGATAAATTGACTGAAAATTTTGACTAAAAAATAAATTAAAAACAAGCTCAAAAACATAGATATATTAGGAATAGATTAGAAATTTAGGCTATTGTATAAAAATATTTGATGATATTAATCGGAGCACTAAACAATTTGGGATGTTAAATTAGAGGTAAAATTGTATTTTTTTCTCCAAGAATTCAATCAACAATTATTCGTAGTAATTAACTTTTTTATTTTTAAGAAAAGTAGTAATTAGCTTTAGTCTCTCAAAGGTTGATCATCGATTATTTTTGCTTAAGCCTCTCACGTTAACAAAAGGAACACATGCTCCCATGGCTATGATGGAACGAATATTTTTTTCCAAAAAAAGAAAAGTGAAAAATGTGTGGACCATTTATAATGTCGAAACAGTCACATGCTGAATTGAATGTTCAAATGAGATTTTTCAGATTTTAGATTCAAAGAAGTGGGGGCCCCACTGTCAGTCCTTCACGGCTGGATAGCCGTTCTGTCGGTAGTCGCTCTGTGCTAAAACCGCGTCTTGATTTTGTTATTTAAAAAAGCTATCTACGGTGTTTCCTTCGAACAACTTTTGTTATTTGGATGGACTTCTTTTTTGTCCCTACACTTAATTTATGTTTCACTCTTATCCTTATATTTAAAAATTGTTATAAATTACTCTTCTAGTTCAATAATTACTCCTTAATTTATCAATAAACGTCTAGATAAATTTGAATGTGAATTCAATTTTTTTTTTAAACTCTTTTAGTTGTTACCTGTTTATGTACAGGGACTTTGAGAAAAAAAAATTATAAATGTAGAAAGATATTATTAACTCCTGGTTGAGAAGACCAAATTATGAAAAAAGTTTTAACCTAACAAGTCAACTATAAGTCCTAAGCAATTAGTGAAGAAGAGTTAGAAGAAAATTAGAACCAAAAAAGGTATTACAAATAAATCATTTTGAACAAAAAGAAACAAACCTTTTGAAGTTAGTCTTTCTATTGCTTTATCTTACTCTATTTATTCAATTGAAAAGTTATTTCGTTTAAAGTAACATTACTTCTTCTTCTTTTTTCTTTTCTTTTTATTGATTGCTTTTTATCATAGATTGTTTTAATAGTTTAAAATTCTCATCCTCTACGTGAAAAAAATTAAATGTGAAACATGAAAAATAATAATTGAAATGTTTATTTCCCTATGTATTTAAACTGAAATATAATAAAAAATGACTCGAATGTTAATTTTTTTTCAAAAACACCAATGCACATATTTACTTATGCGAGTGGATGGTTTTTCACATTTTAACTTTCGTTTGCTTTGACCAAAGTTTGTAAAAGTGATCTTCAAACATTGCAAAAATTTGAGAATTTGGTTTTTTTTTTTTTTGTTTTAAAGGTAAACATTGTTTGCATAATGCTTTTAGAATTCAATGATAAATTATTTATATATACCAAGAAAATTATAAGATAATGATGATATATATGTACATATATCTATAAAATTATAAGATAACAATGACATAAAAACATATCTCTTTACAGTTGGAATATACTAAAAAAAGAAATGCATCTCAAGTTATCTGATTGATCTTGAAGCAATAAAACCATACCTAGAGTAAAAAAAAACAAAAAAAAGTAAGCTTTTCTTTTCTATTAGATATTAAAGCTTTTGAAAACCATAAGAGTAATACTAAAAAAAAAATTCATACTATAGAAATAGAAGTGGAACAAAAATAAATCTATAGGGACAAAATTGAAGTTTATCCTCAACCATTTATTTGGGCAATATTATTCTACTAGTGTGATTATTATTATACAAAGAAAGAAAAGTCAAAACATAATAAGTAAAAACAAAACAGAAAAAAAAGAAGTTAATAATAATAATAATATAATAAATAATAATAACTAGATGAGTAAATTTAATACATAAGCAACGCAAAGGTGTCTCTTCCTCCCTCTCTCTCCTGTGCCTAACATTTGAAGTTTCGTGGACATCCATTTTCTCTATCTCTTTCTTTAATATTTCTTTTTCAAAAAAAAATAATAATAATAATAAATAGAACAGCCTAGTGTATATTATTAAACATAGTCAAAATTATAGAATAGCGAAAGCAGAATCCCATGAGGATTGGCACTGCTAGAAGAACATAATTGGATCCCATTTCAGTCCCCATTTGGTCCTCCTTTACCAAACCCAACATTTATGTTTATTTTTTTATTTATATTCATTTCATTTTCTCATTATATTCATACGCACTCTTTCACAAAAATTAATCCAAATTGGGTTTTTTTTTTTTAATCTTTAGGAGATAAAAATAGAGCAGCAATTGATCTGTGTGTTAAGAGAAAGAAACCCAAATCAAATGTCTCCTTCAAATAGTAATATTGCTAGTACTACTGGAGGAGGAGGAGGAGGAGGAGGAAGTAATAACAGTAATAAGAATTATATAGAACATCAAGTTTCTAAGAGGGACACTCTTGCTGGTGTTGCGATCAAATACGGTGTTGAGGTAGGTGTCTCTCTCTCTCTCTCTCTCTCTTTTAATGATCTGTTTGATTTTTGATGATTTTGTTGATGGGCACTGCTTATTTTGTGTTTCTATGAAGTGGGTTTTTGTTAAAATGTCTCTAGTTAAATATTAATTAACGGGAAGTGTTTTTCTGTTCTCCTTTTTGTTGTCATATGGTTTTTAGGTGGCAGACATCAAAAGGTTAAATGGGTTATCGACAGATCTTCAGATGTTTGCTTTGAAGACCTTGCTTATTCCATTACCAGGAAGACATCCACCTTCTCCCATTTTGTCTAATGGTTCTGCTTCTCGAGGGTACACTCTCACTTCTGTATTAATTTGGCAATTTCTCTGCACTGTTTTTGTGTTTTCTTCTCATTGCTGAATATTAACGCTTTTAACCATATCATCTACTTTGTCTTTATGGATTCTGTACTTGTTATGATGTAGTCCGTGCTCCTGAGTTTCCACACCTTGTTTTTCTCCCATCTTCATCTACTCGATGCCTATAAATTTATATTCTACATTGCTATAAGACAAGTTGTTAGACTACTGACACTGACAAGAAGTGCACGTAAGTAGTTTCTGAAGTTGATAGCAATATTTGCCCTCCCAATGTTTATGACTCTACTGAGTTGCCATTTGAAGTATCTTTCTCTTCATTGATTTACCAGACTCGTTCTCCCTTGCTGGGCCCCCATTGTTAAAGTTAACCCCTTTTCACCTTCCATTTTCTGCTGTACAACTTATTCTATTTTTGTGAATTCTGATTGTATTTAAATGTTGATTTGCTGGAGATGCTTTTCCCTTTCAAACAGAAGTTCAAAAAGATTGCAAAGGAAAATTTTTAATTTATGTCCATGTGAAGAACTTTTACACAATGGTGCAATGTGGATGCAATAAGTGTTCTGCCCAATGTTTTTTCTTAACGAGGTGAACTCTGAAATTAAAAACTCTTATTGCATTGTGAGTACGTTTTATACTTGTTTCTCTGCTAACGGAGCACATTGTATCCTTCTAGAGAGTGAAAGTTGTGCTTCTGTCAGTAAGCGGGGTATTATGATTTATGGTAGAGATGATGCTTTAAAGCTTATTTGGTGGCAAGAAATAGATGAAACCAATGCTAAAAATTTGGACAATTGCTTCCAAAAACAGAAGGCAGTCGCATTCTCATGTTGAGCTCAAAGCTGTGGAAATTCCTCTGAAAATTGATCTCTAATAAACTAGGAAAGGCTCTACGAGGTTCCACACTGCAAAGTGGACCTCAGGAAAAGGAAGAAAGGAAGCTTATGGAATATCTGCTTCTGTCTTGTTCAGTGCTTTGAGCTTTTGATTGGATGGGATTGTAGGATTGGGGAACAAGGGTCTGACTTCAGTTTCTCCTTTCGTAGTTTGTATCACGTGTTTTACTTGTTATTGAGGTATGCATCAAATTGAAGAACAAGATCCATAACAAGTTCCCCCACCATAATTTAGCAATTGGACTTGTCTGACATTGTGAAACTCTGCCTTTTTGTGTTGGAGGTCAAATGAGTCCTTGAAACCCTTTGACTGCTTGTTAAACTGCACTCTAAGGATCTGGGACATGAAGGTTTGAGCCAGAATCTCATCAAACTGTATCTAGCACTACTCTTGGTTCATCCCCCTTTTGTCCTCAACCCCTCTGTTTTCTTCTCCATTCTTCATCACTCTCGTTTCTTGGAGTTATGATCACTTGATCAGACATGTCTTTTGCACTGAGTTTGATACACATATAGTTCCTGGGGCCCTGGAGAGCCTTCTATATTAAAATGGGTGGGTGTCTCCTGGCTAAGAGGTTTAGGGGCACTTTAATTGTTCTTGATAAATATTGGGAGGTGAACCATATTCTTTGTTTCTTCTTCTTGTTTACCTTTTCCTCTATCAAGTGTTGTTTGGCTGGTATACTCTATTGAATTCTGCCTCAATTTCTGGATTTGTTTCAGCGTCATTGTTGTTTTTAAATATCTGCATTAGCTATATTCACATCGTTATAAAACTTGTTTATATGCAGTGTTTATCTATAGAACTTGCTGCCACATTTGCTCCGTGGTGTTGCTACACTAGATAACCAATTGAGTCTTTGCATGAAATATCAATTCCTATTATAATGAACTGAAGGCATAGTGGATGGCGGTTGTTCCATACTTCCATTCTGTTCTTTTCTTTCTTTCTTTTTTGATCCTTCAATAGTACTTTCCTTTCTTTTGCTACTATTGATAAATTTTTATTGCTTTGTGGAACTTAACTATCAAGTCAGTTGTTTTCCAAGACATTTGCAAACATGAATTAGTTCACAAAAAATTGGGGTGGCATAGGACAAATGACTCACTGCTCTAGATTACATGTTTTCTTTAGAACTCTTTGCTTTTGATGATCCCATAATTTCCAATATCTAACCATGCAAAGACACCAGTTTTGCATTGACTAATAAGGCTGTAACTTCTTTGCAGAGGAAACAACATTGACAAAACACCACCACGGCCATGCCACTTGAATGTGTTGGAAACACTCGAGTCTTTAAGCTTAAAATCACCTCAAAAGAAGGCTTCTCCAGCTATGAGCACTTTACAGAAGTTCTATGGTCTCAAATCTTCAAAACATAAGGATTCAGCTGAAGGTATGGAGATGGCTGTTTACAGAACTGGAAACTTGGATTACTTAAATGAGGGGCTGCTGTATAAAGCTTTACCAGTATCTGGCCCATCTTATAGGAATCACAAATCCATAAATTTGGCCGATGGTTTCTTGCCTGATAATGGTTCGGTGGCAGAATACAAGCCTCTTTCAGAAGCTAGAGATGGGGAAGGTGAGAAATCCAATGAGAAGTTTGTTCGAAGACGCCAGAAAGCTGAAGCTGATCCTAGAGCTGGCACACCAGAAAAGCTGTTGAAAGAAGAGAACAATGGTGGAAGCAGTGCTTTTTCACCTGTAACTGGAAAGAGACTAGCAATGAGACCAAAATCAGCAAGCAGAACATCACTGGCTGCTGAATCAGAGCCAGGATGGCTGAATGCTATGCCGGTGGGCATGGGAGATTCCATAATTGCTGATGGGTCTGTTGGAGTTCATAAGTCATCAAGCACATCAAGTCTGCAGGACCAGGAGAACAATAATTTCTCTTCTGTTTGGACAACTTCTAAGTGGAGTTTGAAACCCGATTTACAGGCTCTCTCTAATGCAGCCATCAGTATACCAAAATTTGATGGCTTACCCAAGCCATCTGGACGCTGGAGCAAAGCTGCCCTTGATTAGCACAAGTCTTCTGCAATCTCATAGAATTGATTGTTTCCGTACTGTACCTATTGGGAATGGATATCATAGCTACCTGCTACATTTCACGTAAAGCTGCGAAGTGTAAAGCTGCAAAGTGTAATTACAATAGAAGGAAGCCCGAGTAAACAAGGTTGAAATACGGTATTACGTCTTCTGTTTTGATTATTCAGTGAAAATGCTTTGTTTAAATGCGGATGGCATTGAAGCCTGAAGCTGCAGCGCCTTGAGAAAAGCTACAAAGAAGAAGGTAAAGGAATGCCTTTTTACCGTTTTCCATTTTGGATTTGTGATGGGGATGCTCAAATCTAGATCATAGCCTCAATTGTCAAATACTATTTGTATACGAAGCCATTTGTCTTTGCTTATTCATTAGAAGTGCATTTGTCCCATTTGTTTCATATAATGCTCAATTATGCTTTTGGATTTTGATGGAATGGATTTTGACTTAATGGAGAATGGAGAGGCAGCCTTTTTTCCTGTTTTCTTTTTCTTGTGATACTATGTTGAGAAGCCTCATCTTGAGCACAATCAATTCTGCTGAATTTGAATTTAGAAAACGAAAAGGTTAGTTAGAATCAAAACCTTAATGGATTCTACTGGGCGACTTCTGTGGTTCATGGTCATGTAAACACATAGTGGTTGCAGCCAAGAAAGGCGACACAAAATGTTCCAATTTCTCCAAAAGATTTGGATTTGTGATATTTAGATTTGATGCCTTATCGTGCCACTGCCATCAGCATCAAGCGCAGGTTAAAGAACGAAAAAAGACGATGGGCACTGCACCCTGGAAAATACCACATTTTCTCCATTGAGCTAAATGGGTGGCAAATTAACTTTTCCAATTTTGAGAACAGATTAAAAAAAAATCTTGCTGATGAGTTTCTGATGTTCTGAATTCCAGAAGGTGGTTGATGCAATGGAGTAAACAGCAGAATACGACTCCAAAATTTGTAGCAGTACTAAGTTCTCAACAGTAGAAATAACATCTTTTGGTGCTTATGAAAATTCATGGATGCATTTTTTTCAGAAGATGAATCAGATAAATATTACTCATTTTTTGGCTTGAATAAAACAGTAAGATCGCCACAACATTCACAATTTATTCCAGAATGAAGTCAACAAATAAATAAACAAATATTGTCCATATGCAAACAAGAGCCTCATTGAAACTGCAGCACACAATGGCCTAAAATTCCAAAAACATTTCCTGCATTCGCATCACAAAACAAAACAATCAATAGAAGATCCATTTTTTCCTAAGCAAAGTATGAGTACAGCGGACTGACTAGAAAGCATTCTTCCAGGGAAATACAGAGCATGTCAAGAGTATGGTACACCATGTCCAACTACCCGTTTTCCAACACAGCACATTTTCACAGTTCCCCTCTGCTTGCACATCATCAGGTTCTGCAGCCGAATGACTTTTTAAGTCTTCAAATGATCTAAGAACCTCAGAAACCGTCCATCCTGAAAACAAATAACTAAACACCATAACTCATCTACATCCATCCATAAAGCAATTTGATTTCAGTGAATACTAACATACTTGAATCAACTTCCTTTGTTTCGCTTATTTCTTTCTTTTGGTTATGCTAAACAAAAGGTAGCTTGGTTGTGGATGAGTAAAAATAATGGCGATTGGAAGAATTTCCTATGAAGTAGAAAATCAGGTGATGTAGAAAAGTGAAGAGTTACCATGGAGTCCAGAACAACGGGTAAAACACTTGGGCTAGAATTTTGCATTAAGGATGCAAATGTTGCGACAAAAGAAAACCTAGTTTCATGAGCTGAAGGAGAGGAAGGATTCTCCTAGATGCAAAATTTTCAAGGATAATACTTTCGATGAAAGCCAATTAAACAGCAATCAGCAGATTGTTAGCCATAATAAGATTAACAAGACTAGTTCGTTTGGCATCCATATACTAAAATTCATGACACAAAACAGCCACTGAAACTGATCTCAATTTGCTGCAAGACTCCAAGAAGTCAAGGGATGCCTCCAAAAAACATAATCAAAGGATCTACAAGTCACTCTCAAGACATTATGAGAAATTAACGGATCAGACATAACAGCTATATTACTTGAGTTTGCCACTTAGTTAACCATATGTATCTTAATAGCTTCCCATATCTAATTTGTAAGCAGTTCGTACAAATGATTGAAATTGAGAGTCTTTAATCATTTCAGCACCTTATTGGTTGAAATTTTAGGGTGCAAGGACTGAAAGGAGGAAAGTGAAGCTCATAGGTAATTTGAGGTTTACTGCCATAAATTTAATGGTTCCTTGTGAATGAAATCTGCAACTACTAGCAATAATTCAGGGCATGTAGATAGAAGCATACCAAAATAAGAAGGAAAAGAGTAACATGTAATCGAGTCAACACATGAGAATTAAGATCAGTATATGTAGGATAAAAAATAACATAAGGATAATAATCCAAGATAACCAAAATTCAATGCTAGAGTTTCTAAAGCAAAGAAACTAAGAACTGAAGATTCTTACTACTATTTTCCTTAACAGTTATTAGGCTTCAAATAGAACATTAGCACAAGAGGTGTAGCAATCACGTCCCTGCCTTGTATGCACTATATGGTTAAAGGCACAATCAATGCATAAAAACACTGATGGCATCTCTCAATTACATCCCTACTTTTCTGGTGCTGCAGCCTTAGGATCTCATTCGTAGACAAAGAAGCAGGCACAATGAAACATACCATTAATCAAGGAAGATCTAGTCTGTCCTCTAGAGAGGACACAACCCTTTGATACCGAGTGGGATTCTCAAAGGCAGTAACCACAAAATTCTAGAAATTCAGAGAAAAGTGAAAAAAATAGAATCCAAAGAGAAAAAAGTTAAAATTCCCAACTTTAGTAAATGGTTGAATATTGGATAAACTGCACAGAAGTTCACCCAGTGCATGTGTCTTTCACTAGATGAAGAAATCAACACTTCATCAGACTTAAATTAGACTATGAGACACGCAATTGAAATTCCAAATCTTTAAGTGCAAGAGATGTTATGATCAAGCATAGAGGAAATCCTAGGCAGGACCACAAACCTTGATATCTAGAGGGAAAGAGATTTTAACTTCTTGACGCGCTTCGTGGCAGGGGAAATGCCTTTGATTACTTTCTTCATAGATTTAGCTCTTTGTTTCATCTTTTTCTTTGCAGGCATCTCCCTAACTGGACCTGGCAGTACCCCTTTTTTAAGGGCACTTCCTCTAGGGGTCACAGAAGGAGGTATCCTCAAGTTCTGTGGTGGTAAAGGAGTGCTGGGCTTCCAGACTAAGTTGTTTTTCATGGAAAACCTGACTTTTTTTGCACTCTTCTCTGTGCTCTTCGCCATTGCACTTGTGCCGGTTTCAGCATCTTCTTGGCCATTCAATTCTTTAGATCCCTTCCCATCCACACTCTTCGCTCTCTTTCTCTTTTTGGAGACATTACCATTGCCATTGACTTTCGGAAAATTGCAGGCACTAGCAATATCCTCATCTATGCTCTCTTCTGCAGCAACTTTCTCAAATTGGCTCTGAAGATTTGCTATTGCAGATTCATTAAACCTTATCAAATTATCATCACCAGTCTTCTCTTCGCTCGAATTCTTTCCATTTGGTAAATCCTCATTCCCATTTTCATCAGTCATAGAATCAGTCTCACAGTGGAAACCAGAAACGGCATTCTTTGTCTTCTTCTTTGCCTTTTTGCCACTGCCATCTGACTCCTTCTTCACCTTTTTGTTCTTCTTCAATTTCTTGCTAAGATGCCCATTAGCAACATCACCATTCAAACCTTCCACTTCCATCCCACTATCAATAGGAACCAAAGTCGGCACCTCCTCATCCTCATCATCACCATTAGTCTCTGGAAGTGCAACCTTGATCCCAGAGGCCACAAAATCCTTCTCCAACTTCGAAAATACTTCATGTAACCCCAAAATCACTTTCCTGTTCCCTTGACAACACTCAACCGAAGAACCCAACTCATAAAACCTCTTTGAGAACTCCATTACCAACGCAATTGAACCCAAAACCACCTCATCATCATTCTCCCCAACATCACCCTCCTTCTTCTTCACCTCCAACAATTCCCTCCCCATCTTTAACAACACATCAAACACATTACTCTTAATCTTCGCTAACAAAACTTTATCACTCACCCTGCCCATTACACTCACAAAATTCCCAAAAACGACCTCCAAAACCGCCTTCCTCACCGGCAAAAAACCTTTCAATTCCTCAACAAAAACCGAAACAACATGGTAATTAACACCGTTACCTAACAACTTATCATCAGCTAAAAAACCCTTTTCAACAAAAACCCTCGTAAACTTCTCTACAACATCCAAACCCCACTTCTTCTTTTTGAAGAAAACAAACAAAGAATTCACAAATCTCCTAATCAAAAGATAAAACTTATCTAACCTTAATCCATCAATACCAGACCATTCCCTTCTCATAGTAACTAAAAAAACAGAGAAATAACTAAAACAAACAGATTCATCATCAATAACAGTAAGTAAAGAACTCAGTTTGTTGATTAGTTGGTTCTGTGCTAAAGACTTGTCAGCATGCCACATACAGTAAAACAGCCCTTTCCACAGTTTCTTCATAGTTTCTTCTGAGATTTGAGGTTGTGAAGGTAACCATTTGTTTAAGAGAATCTTTAAAGATTTGTTTCGGGATTTTGCGTCGCTTGCCGCTAGTTGTTTTATTAGGGTTTTTGACGTTTGAGCTTGGATTTGGGGTTCCTCCATTTTTTCTCGATTGATGAGAGGAGGAAAGAAGGAATTTTGAGGGAATTTGTGAAGTGGGTAGAAAAGGGTTCTTGCAGCTGTCTGTATGAAACTTGAAAGATGTATACGCTGATTTTTTTTTTTTTCCGAGAAGTGAAAACCCTAGGGTTAGTTTACGGAAATATGGAGTTTTATATTAGTATCGGTTATTTTAATTTTGGGATGATTTCAAATTAGTTACCCAAGTATATTCTTATACTCAATTAAGTCCTTACAATTTATTTATCCAATTTGCTCTCCAAAAGCTATATATATACTATTGAATCAATTATAAAAAACAAACCAAAAGTTCTAATTTCATAATTCAAATTTAAGTTTTTTTAATAAGATAAAGAATTTATTAAAAAACATTTAGTCTTTGATATTAAGGTTATGGCATTTATAATTATATATAAATTTTATGTTTTGGATTGGCATAACCTAGATAAATGTTGAACTTCTGACATAATAGAAGACAACATTAATAAAATCTAATTCATAATTACTTTTTTTTTATTTTAATTATTAGGATATTCACCATGAATGGAGCAAATAGGTTATAACCTAAATTCTAAGGATATATCCTGTAAATATATGCTGCTTTTTTGTGCCTGCTTTACTTCATGCAGCTAATTTTACACAAGTAGGCCATTGCAATCTATTATACCATCACTTCAAAGAGCTAATTTATCTTCTTCACCTTTTGATTATTCTTTTCTTAATTTGCAAGGAAGGAGGGGTTGGACCATCAAGTATGGTGACTCTTGCTACATCACTGAGCTGCAATGCTGGCCCAACAGTGACATGGCCTTGCAATTTTTTATTCGAAAACTCATCAAATGTAATTGATTTTCTATTTCAAGACAAAATATGTAGTGCCTCAATTGTTTTTGTGTTTCAAGACAAACTAATCAAGTGTAGTTGTTCCACCTAATTCAACCATTTCCAATGGCAACAAAAAAAAAGTCAGGAAACCAATAATTGTTGCTCAACAATTAAGGATTCTTCATGGAATGTAATGGCACCTTCTTGCTTCTCCCATCATTTGATGGAACAACCTTATAGGTGTAAGAATAAAGTGTTCTTTAAGATAATATGATGCCTTGTTCTTGATCCTTCTTCGGTTGGGTTTTTGAATTCACTTCATTAATTCCTTCCGGGCAGGAAAATGGAAACTTTGGTGGCTTGGAGTAACTGGTTTCCATATAAGACTGGCATACTCGGGATGATCGACGAAAGGATTTCTATTGTGCTGATAAAACTTGCAGACTCTGTCATTTCTCAACTTCTCTTCTCTTGAAGGTGGATCAACTTCATTCCATTTTAACAATGTAGAAAGCAGTCCCATCTCCCTGTGTTCTGCAAATTGAAGTTGCGACATACGAAAGTTAAGGCTGGCTAACATCTAAAGAATATCAGAAATCTTATGCAGTTGGCTGCAGGGTTTCCCTGTATCAACTTATGACCATTTCTTTCTACTTACCAAAGCTTGGAGAATCAGAAAGGTGAAGATTTAGTCCGCCTGGTTGTTGGAGCCCATAACATACAGCCATGTACATTATTGCTCTTGCTATGTCCCCTCGAACCTGCAAGTTAAATGGTTATTACGAAAACTACTATCATCTATCGAGACCACGACACTTTATCGTGAATTATGATTGTAATGAAATTCAATAGTCAATGAGTGCCAGACCAATAAAAAAAAATTGAAGCTAAAATTTTGTTTCATGTCTCTAGTTACAGAAATGATGAAATCCATTATAAAATGGAACAAATGAACAGTGTGAGCATATCGCTTCAAATTTGGATCCCCAACTAGAGGTTTCCCTTTCACCAAGAAAAGGTAAAATGAGGACATTTTATAAAAGCTCCAACTAAAGAATAGACCTCAAAAAGGCTAAAGCATCATGGTTTAGGTACAACAATTGAAACATGACAAAAACCTCAGTATATTTCAGAGCATGTAGGCATCAAAATTCCTGATTAAGAAAAGTTTTCACTGTTCAGATCAAATGGGGCTCTTGATTGATGGGTTTGAAATGATCTTTGCATGTCTTACCAAGAACTTGCGATTTGAGGTTTTACTCCATTTACCGACTCTCCAAATAATTTCTTAATTTATTTCTCTTGGCTAATAAGTTCAAAGTTCAAAGCCAATCCTTTGTAACTCCGCAATAGAAAAGCAAAATCTAAAAATTAAAAAAATATTTGAGGCTAAACAGTCAACCCTCACTTGGCCGGTTAATGTTTCTCTGTACAGATGAACCTAGCTGCAGAGTTAAACAAATGCTATCACTGCCGATTAGAAACAACCTGAAACAAACCCTGCCTAAGCACAACTTGTTAACTCCCAGTGTCTACAGATTCAGGGGCATGTGATAATAATCAACTTAATACTAACAAGGAACATATAGCCTGTAGGTTCAAGATATGCAGAAAACCTGTGTAGGTGGTGCCCATCTCTCCTTGTCCGTTTCCGTGTCAGGAGAAGCTTCTTTGTTTGCTGGCTTTAGACATTGGATTGATTTCTCACGGCATTCCCCATAGTATTTGTTTCCCCGAGATGAATTTACTGCACGACACCTCAACTATATATATATCAGTTAAGGATGGATGGATAGTTCACGAGACCAAATTCTCAATTGTACATGAAGAGCAGCAGCCTCTCTCACCATTCACATCTGCTGGGCGAATATTATGTAAATCAGTCAAGGATGGACCACCATTTAGCCCATAAGAACGAGGCCACAAATGTTCCCCTGCAAAATGCAGCAGTATATATGACAACTTGCCATTGTTGCCATCAACAAGAATGCCATAGCCAACAACTAGATTAATCTGGAAAATATGGTGAAATTTTTTCCATGTTTGATAAAATAAAATGTTGTTATATACTAGAGCATATAGCATCAAATTGGTGATAAAATCCCTTGCATAGGGTGCACAATCCACTGAAAATTAGAAAAATACATGATAAAATTGTTTCTCAAGTCTCAAAATCTCATAAATAAGATCTAGAAGAATGGAACCATTTTCGGAGTGTATGTTAGATGTCTCTACATCAAACTTGTTACAGGATACATAACAGAATATGGATTAGTGTCGCAAATTAGAAAGAAATCCCTTGAAGATTTTTAAGTGCCATTTTTAACAAGTTCCCCCCTCCCTTCTCCCCATACACAGTGCTCCCCAACTGAAAGGTACCTTCACCAGATGAAATGGTTAAGTGGAAGCAAAACTGAAGAAGCATAGATATTTATGAGCTTTTTGTGACTCAGGTGTAAGCATGATCAGAAAACCAAAGGGTTTTCACTTGAGAAAAACACAGCCAAGAGAAGAATAATCTCAAGAGGGAACTAAAACAATAAAACAAGACAGATCAAAGAAATGCTTTGAATCATGACACAGAATGCTCACTTGCAATAGAAACAAGAATGAGCATACACACAAAAACCCTACCAAATGCAAATTTCAGTCAACTAGCCATTCATAAGATCGACAAGAATGCATCAACAGATGGAGTACTAGCAACTTTAACAAGGCCAAATGGCTTTGGCCCATTTCTACCAAGAGGAAAAAACAGAACCAATTCTCTTATCCATGCCAATTTATGGATACCGTGTAGTTTATTCTGATATCATGGCAACAAATTTAGATATCTATAACAATCAATTAGACCATTCCCCATAAAATGGTCTAATTTTCGTATATCTATAACAATCAAAATCATAACTCATAGTGCTAATAAATTTCTCTCTCTAAGAATTAAAAGAAATAGGAATCAGAATGACAGTAACTGCATCATATTTTAGAATTAAGTTGACTCACTGTTCCATCCGTTAGGTTTTCCTGCTAAGTTCTTTGACACAGCTCTCAGTGAATAAATTTCAATTCTGCATTTACAAAACCCACCTCAATTATTACCATAAACAAGATTCTTAGTACCATAATCACAAAACCAAGAACAGAAAAGAGAAAACTACATACATCCTAGATGAAGCTTGAGGCCTATCAACATTTGCAGCATCAAGAAACTTGAGGGCATCCCAAACCTCTTTGTAAGACAGTGAGTGATGCTTGGAGATAACAGAATGCAGTTTCTTTTTCAGTGCTTTGCCTTTTAAACCTCTCACACTATCATAATAACTGCTTACATCCTCACAGCCATATGAAGGAGAAGATAAAGATGGATAATCTTGAGCAAGTGCTACAACATTGAGGCAACAGAACAAGTAAATGGAAATGATTCTCGAAGCCCATCTCCATGATGAATTACCTCCAGCAGTAGAGGCGCTGTTGTTGCAGCTTTGTTGGATATGGTCAAGTTTGAGGTTAGTTTGTGCTTTTGGTGATGAAGACTTGCGTCTGAATGCGAAAGAGGTGGAGTTGGGTGCGAGCTTACATCTCCTGTTAGCCACTAGAAGATTGGAGCAGCAACCGGTAAGCAGGATACCTTGCAACTCCATGCTGGGACTTCCTTCACTTCCGATGGAAACAAGATAACATGCTTTTGGGTAAACTATATTTTTGCCTTTTTAGATTTCTCAATGTTTCATTTCTACTCGCATATTTTAAAGTTTCAAATGTTGCCCCTATAGTTAAAAGTTGCCCCTATAGTTAAAAGTTTCAATGATGCCTTTAACTATTATGCAACTAAAAAAAGCTAACTTTTTTTCTCCATATTTTCGCTTATTTTTTCAATGCTAGTTTCTTTTTTCTTTTTTTTTGTTGCATTTATATATGTAATATGCTGGTAATGAATTTTTTTTTCCTCCAACATGAAAATTAATGATGCTATAAATGTATAAATAAATGATGTAATATAATGATGACAATGTTCATAATAATGGTTTTCATAATGATGTGAAATGAACAATATTAATGATAGTCATAATTATTGTGATTTAAAACTACTTCATGATTTTTTTAGTTTATGTCCAAGATTTTAATATTGTTCATATCAAAAAAGAAATTTACCTTTTGAATTTCAAAAGAGTTAATGACATTTAGTATGAAAGGATGATCAACAATGACCCAAGAAGATTGGACAGAGTGAATCTATTCGCTTAAATAAGTGATTTTGGATTCGAATTCTTATGCATGCAGTAAAACTCATTGGGTAGCCGTGTTCATTTTGTACATCCGACCAAATAGCAAGAGATTAATCTTGATTTTTGGATTTGAGATACCTTGGGAATTCAAAAAAAAAAAAACGATCAATAATCAAATTTGAGTTTCTAGAATATAGAAAAAATTTAGCATATGCCCAAATTGTAAATTTAATCTTAAACTTCCAATAATGATTTTTAACATAATTTGATAAAAGGATGAAATCTAACATAACTTTTGATAATTTAATGAATTAATTGTATATTTTGATACGTAATTATTGAAATGCATTTGGAATCAAAACTTCATATATATATATTCAGACTTTTTTATATATATTTTTCTATATAAAAATTAGAATTCTTTTCAAACATATTATGATTTTAAAATAATATTTGTTGTTTAGATTTTTCTTTTTAGTTAATAAAACAATTGCAACTTTTAATATTAACATAATTAATGCATATAAAATTTGATAAAAACTTCCGCCGTATATATTTATTATAGATAAAATAATAACGTCTCTGAATATATTTATTTTTAATCATTAACTTACATCAATCAATAGCCCAAATTTTTTAATCTGAGATTTTATTATAAATAAAACATTAATGGTAGATATTAAGTGGAATTATTTGAAAACAAATCTAGGTTTTTTTTTTTTTTTTGTAATAAGAATAATATAATAATGATTAAAAAAAAATATTGAATGACTATTAATTTTACTATTGATAAGTATATATTTTGATCACATATTAATTAAGTATACATGATAAAAGTTAATAAAACATTGGTCAAGTGGTTAATCACTTAAAGCTTAAGAGTTGAATTGTTAGGTTCAAATTAATTTCAAATAAGAAGATAAAAGATATAAAAAAAAAAAATTATGGAACCAATTATTTTTACATTTTTCAACAATTCAGTTATGGAAAATACTAAATAAATGTGTGAATTTCTTAAATCCACATGAACATTAACAATAAGCAAAAAAAAATAATGCAAGCACAACTACCGAGAATATAACAAAATCCTCCATGGATTTATTGTTTCCATTTAGCTACCTTTCAAAAACAATATTTTTAATCATAATTAAATCATTTGATTTAAGTATTTTATACATAAAAAGTAATTTAATAATAAAAATTATCATTTTGATAGCCAATGTTGCCATGTGATATTCTCATCCCCTTGTACTTAAGGACATCAAATTTTAGTTATAATAGGAAAAGAAATTAGGATGAATTATTAGCCTTTTTTCTCATAAGAAAATTTATAACATAAGATATTTAGAAAGAAATCAGTTTAAGAATGAATCCCAGTTGCTTTAGAATAATATCAAGAAATGAAAGAGGAATCAAAGAGGGTGGAAAAAACAATGCGATGAAAATCCGTAAAAAGAAGTATATATATCTAGATAGAAATTAAAAGAAAAGATGTACATATTAAAAAAATAAATAGATTAATTATTTTGATTTTTTTAATTATCCATCAAATTATTGATTAATATTGAAGTGTCTGATAAATTATTGGTTAGATTTATTAAAAATTAAAATGTGAACCAAATAGGAAAAAAAAACATTAATTGAAACCCTTTTATCACATCAAATGTTGGAACTATATAATATCAAATTCGACAATAGTTTTTTGTATGAATAATGAGGTTTAATATAAATAGGAGTTTTTTAAAATATACATTTACTGAATTTAATTTAATATTTGGAATTCTTTAATAAGAATAATTGTTGCTTTAAAGTTTTAGATACTGATGAAACTATAAGAATTGCAACTAATGCTTGTAAGCCATAATATTTATGGTAAAAATTAAGATTATTTTGTAAAAAAAGATTTAACATCAAAGATATATATATATATATATATATAACTTACTTTAAAATTATAAAAATATTCATCTGTATTTAATATTGTTAAATACTTTTTTAAATATTATTATTTTGCTTATTCAAGTAAGAGAAAACAACACCTATTGCTATTCTAATTAAAAAAAAAAAAAAAAAAAATGAAACTTGGAGGGTAATTACGATCGTGGTGAAGTTCGACCAAAAGGACTGTGTGCAGCTACGTCAAAGTAGCCCAGGTTAGATTCAGCGTCCTCCAAGCTCCATCAAGAATGAAAATGATCTGAGACTGTCAAGGCCACAAAACCCAGAACCTTAATCCATTGCAGGGTTCCAAACCCTGGTCCAGGCAATACTTGTCAGAGCAGAGTCACGCTGAGACCTTTTATTAGATCAACTCAATAAATCCAACTCTAATCTAACCATTAGCGTTCTCTTCAAGCTCGGAAGTTTGTCCAAACGCCTTTGACAACAACAATAAGAACATACAACTAGTTCACTTGCTGATTATGTTTTTGGCCCCACAACCTGCTGTGCATAATAATTGAAGTGATAAAACTCTCCTGTAATCAAGATCTATAAATAGCACAAACAAAAAGTCGGCAAGTTACATTTGATACTAACTAGTTGAGGATCTAAGATGGTTTATCAGCAATATAGCATGACAAATAGTTTGAAATGGAAGACGTGAAAGGCTGTTCCAGAAAGACCAAATTCGGGTCCAGAAAATTTGAAAGCCTTAATGTTACAAGCTCAATCTCTTACTAATACTTACTTCTATGGCCAACTCTATCTCTCAAGACTCAAGATTGCAGTTCAACTACCGAATTCCTTCTCACCTACATTGAAAGAGAGATTTCACCACCTATTATTTGGTGGCTTGACCTTGTAAATCCGAACAATCCAATTAGATGTCGTGAATGCCTCTTCCAAGTGTTCAAGTTTAATGTCTTTATTTCCAATTTCAACCCCCTTGCTCGATCATACCTACCATAACATAGAGAAATTACAAACAAGGAACAAAGCAAAAGCATAATAAAACCCCCCAGAATGATCAATTTCACATACGAAAGCGAGTTCGAGCAGTAATCACAAGGTAGTAACTTCCAGAAACAACCCATTCTGACCCAACAAAGTGTAAATGCTAAACAACTTGAAAAAGAAAGACGGGGGATGCTGAACTTACCCTGGAGGTTTCCCATATTCTGTTACCAGCTCTCCAAATCGATAGTAAGATAGCTTGTACCTATTCAACAATAATCAATAAACAAGATATAACTCCTCCAAACCACAAAAATTGCACCACATTGGGTACCGCATGATCAATATATGATCTTTAATTCATTGAAGCTAAACTTCAAGTTGGGACGCCACATTTTTCATGGAGGGAAATTATTGTTCTTTGTTAACAACAATGTCAAAGGTCAAAATATCAAATCAGCTATAATGAAGACCCTTGCTTATGGGAATCAGGACTGTGAATCACATGCACAGGTTCCAACCAAAATACTCCAACAGAACATGAAAGACTAAGAAATTTCCTTAATAAAGTAATGCAAGAAAATTGTCAAGAAAGACATAAAAAACCCACAAGACATTAGAAATAACTAAGGCGTGCAATTTTTGAGGAAAAGGAATGCTTAAGTGACTATAAAAAAAAAAAAAAAAAAAGATTCAAAACCAAAATATTGACAAGTAATTTTAGTAAATAATACAAATTCCAATCTAAAAGAGAAAGCAAGAGTGCAGAATAAAGAAGTGTAGGAAGAAATAAGGAAAAAATGTACACCTTGCATGTAGGATGCACACATCCTTTATTATATGGCATGCTTTGACACAGAATTAATTCACTTGACAGCCCATATGTAACTAAGGCATTTGTACGAGAAACACATCCAGATAGAGTTATATGAGTTTAAATCTTTATGATTCTGATGTGGAAATGCAATGCCCAAATCAGAAATATGTCTTTGTTCTATCTTGTCTGTGGTTGCAATGTCCTCATACAGAGGAATGCACCTTCAAACCCCTCACAATTAGAACTGTCAACGGGTCAGACTCAGATCGAAATATAGTAGATCCGGATCTCATTTGTTTAGTGAAACAGACCAGATCGAACCTTATGAATTCAGATCGGATTTCAAAAATGTGAAATTGGATCCGGATCCTACCAGACTCGGATCGAATTCGGAGCTCCATCGGATTTATTACTTGATTTTTGTATAATCTTTATGCTTACTATATTTCATATATTGCTCGAATATAAAACATATTTCCACTGCTACAAGTATAATAAAACATATTAAGATAAAATGATTTTATTAAGATAAAATGATTTTATTAAGATGATATTTCATTTATCGATTTTGTAAAAATTTCAAAATGCTACACAATTCAAAAATACAAAATCAAATAATCTTAATAAAAATTTGTCTTGAACTAGGTAAGAAGTATAATAAAATTTTAAAAAATAATAATAATAAATAATCTTTATTTCTTGTCAACGTGGCAGAAAAAAAGTGATAACAAATATAATAACACAAATTCATGAAAATGTATATAATAAGTCAATTTATAATTTTTTCGCAAAATTGAATTGAGAAAATGGTAAGGAATTTATATGTGATTTTTTAAAAATACAATAATTATCATAGAAGGATATGCGTTATTTGAACTTTATAATAAATAAACTTATATGTGATTTTTTAAAAATAGTTTCAATATTTATATATATTTTTCATATTTATATTTTTAAAATTTTTTAAAATATTATATTTATTATAAAAATTTCAAAATGCCACACAATTCAAAAATACAAAATCAAATAATCTTAATAAAAGTTTGTCTTGAACTAGGTAAGAAGTATAATAAATTTTTTTAAAAAATAATAATAAATAATCTTTATTTCTTGTCCACGTGGCAGAAAAAAAGTGATAACAAATATGATAACACAAATTCATGAAAAGGTATATAATAAGTCAATCATAATTTTTTCACGAAATTGAATTAAGAAAATGACAAGAAGTTTATATGTGATTTTTTAAAAATTCAATCATTATCATGAAAGGATATGCGTTATTTTAACTTTATAATAGATAAACTTATATATGATTTTTTAAAAATAGTTTCAATATTTATATATATTTTCCATATTTATATTTTTAATATTTTTAAAAATATTATATTTATTATAAAAATATTAATTTTAATTTCGGATCAAACTATTATTAGATTGGATCAAGATAGATCCAAATTCAATCCATTTAATAAACAAATTAACAGATTTGGATTATACCCGACTTGGATTAAAAAAAAAATGTTTACCATATTCATTTAATTACATCAAATTCGGAGTTAAGATCCGATCCATTTACAGCCCTACTCACAATCACACTCTACACAAGACCTGACAACTTCTGCAGTCTCTATAGGCAGAATTTGCAATGATCCACGTTTTAGTTTTATATTATGAAAAAAAGTCATAATAGAATACTAAAAGATAAAACAAGAATGATTGTGAAGTTTACGTCATTCTCATCTTGCAATTTTCTTTAAGATGAAACATGACTAAGAGCAGAAACTTACATGAGACAGTTCAACATCTTGGGAGCTGCACCTTTGTCAACACGATACTCCCCATTGACAAGATAGTCAGGTTCCTTAATTACAGGGAATACTCCACCTCCAATTCTCACCATCCACAAAAACCTAGTGCAAATGAATAGCATTATCAAGTGCATGAAAAATCACATTATCCACAAACATTAAGAACATCATCAAAATTGTTTCCCAGAGAAGCTATGCCAGAAATGAGAATACCTACAGAGTACAGACTATAATTAAAAGCTTCAATGCTTAGTACAACTCAAGAAATGTTTCATATAGTCTAAGGTTTAACATGGGAAACTGAATATAAGATGGCATAAAACCACTACTCCAGCCTTCGACATCAACGTCGGAACATAAGATTACATAAAACAACTCCCTGACTGAACTCAATAGTCTCATTTGCATTATGGTTCAAGGGACAGGCAATGTCGATTGCATAAACTAAACTTTTCAAATTCATATTATTTAGAAGAATGCAACCCCAAAGATAAACTAGAGCCTTACTTGTTGATATCATCAGAAGAATAACCTGTAACACCACCAAAGACAACCAGTACGTAATTCACATCAAGAGATCTCATTATCTCATATGCCTCATCCTCATAAGATGACATTGCACGGCCAACAGTGGCAATGTGTGTATTGTTCCAGGTATTATTGTCAACAATAACTGTTCTGTTCCCCATAGCAGTAATCTGATACCCATAATCCCACCATGACATCACCTTGGCTTCTGGAGGAGTATTCTGTCGAAGCCAATAGTATGCCTCACGGTAATCATCAAAGATGACCCTGTTACCATGGGCACCCCTAGCAGCCAAGACAATGGAGGGAGATGAGTAGGCCTCTGATGTCACCCAGGTACAATGTATAGCATACCTACTGAGCAAGTAAAATGCACCGAAAAGCAATGCAATAGCGCCATTTCTTTGAAAAGGCTGAGACTGATCAAGCAAAGCCTGCTTGCACATCAAATACAACCAGAATTATTTAAAATCATGACCAGAATAAAGGAAAAGGAAACCTCCCTCCAATTCAATGGCACTTGCTAGCGGTAGTATTCAATAGTTATAATTGTCCAAATGTACTGGAGGGGTAAATGACCAGAGACCAAATAATAGCAGCATTAATGAAATTAGAGCTTCATAATTTATTCAATGTTATAAAATAGCTCAACAAAAATTACTTTCTTGCCAATTTCCTATAACATTGACATAATGAGATAAGGCAACCCCAGACTCTTAATTATAATGTAATTAACATCATCAAAACTACAAAGAGAGAACAGCAATACAAACTGATAGCTTTCTTAGAAAACACCATCAGCAAAAAAACTCTTTAGGACTAAATGGATGGGGTATGTAAAGATGATCAGCAGGTCTTAGCATGATTAAAATATATCAAAAAAAAAAAAAAAGGTCAGCTGAATAATAATGAAAGGTGCGACAAAAACAACTTTAAACATCATCCCACAAGTGATGCAGCATAGAAATGTCATTCAGATTTTGCTCACCATCTAAGTCATTAAGGACAGTTGACAAAGACCAAGAGAGTAGAGATATTCATTTCAGCCACAACACTACCAGATGTCTTCATAACGAATCAAAAGAATGGAGAGGGGAATCCAAATCAAGTGTAGAGAACTCACCTTAGAAGAAGCCTTTCCACCGCCCGATCCTTTAGTAGAGCCAGTTTGGGAAACCTTGCTCTTAGTTCTCAGCAACATAGTCAAATTCTTTATAGTGGCAGAAACAGCAATGGCACTAATTAGGCATACAGCAGGCGTGGCAACAAGAATTAACCGAACCATGACACCAGCAAAATACATGCTTGTAAGACCATACATAACTATGAATATTGTGGCATCTGTCAGCCGCTTGAAGCAGAAATACAGACCAGCAGGGAAAAGGAAAAGCAGGATTTGGAAATCAAACATGAAAGACGACCAAGCGGTTGGCTGATGCTCAGAGACAGATGCAATAATGGGAATGTGATCCTTAGCATATGTTGGATCCAATAGAGAGTAAAATCTGCCAGTCCATGGCGAAATATAACCAGATGCTGTCCCAACTCCTAGAGCAATAGCGCCTACCCCTACTGCACAGGTCACAGAAATCCTCAAAAAAGCTTCAAACTTCTTTTTATCATTTAGCAGATGGTTAACCCAACCTAAGAAGTAAAACACCTGTACAAACAGTTGAGGGTCAGTGCATATCCAAAAGAAAATTAGCATTTTTTACTCTAATTAAAATAGTTATAGCTTAGAATGGTAACATACGCTATCTTAATACCATACGCTGTTAGAGGCATGTAAGAATAGAGATGAAGACTCAACAAGCATCAAACTTTCACATTTTTGTGAGCATTTGGCAAAATCAAGCAAATGGACCAGATTGAGAGACTAAGGCACCACAAATAACATGCTTAGACTGTGAAGATTTCAAACAAACAACATATCCGAACTTCAGCAGTTTAACACTTGTACAAAACCTCATTTTTTAACTTAAGAAAACAATGGTATCAATTCATGGACCATCAATCCGTAATGCTGCATTTAGAAAAACTTCTGGTACTTGACCTCAAACTTATCCACAAGAAACCCAACATAAGACAAGCAATTCAACCAAAATACGCGATTCAACTTCAAATAAGTTACAGCAAGTAACAAGTAAAAGAAGAGATTAAACATCAAACCTGCATCAAGAAGAACACACCCATAGCTGCCATGTGCTCACCAGACTGCACATGTTGAAACCCAACAAACCGAATCTGCATAGCAAGCAACATTCCCAACACATACATACAATTATAGGCAACATACAACCTCATCGAATACCTCCCAGTAATCAACAACACCAACACGTAAAGTGGTATCAAATTAATAATAAAAACATAACCTCCCCAAGCCGAAACCATGTAAAAGTACCCAAAAGCCGACGCCAATCCCCACGCTAAAGATCCCGTGTTCACTGCCTTAACAAACATATAAAAAGTCAACAACAGTGCGAAAATCGCAACCCCTTCATTATCATAAGACCCTGCAACAGATCGCGATATATAACCAGGACAAATCGCAATCAATATAGCTGCAACCAACCCAGCACCAGAATCCCATATCTCTTTACCAAAAAAATACGCAACAAGGGTAGTATTTGACGCGAAAAATGGTGCTGTCAACACACAAACTTCACGGATATGAACAGCAAAACGTAAAAATCGGAGGCCCCAGTACATAATGGCTGCAGTAACCATTAATCCAGGATAAAGGGTTCCTCCAATGATACGTCCAAGAGGATACCAACTCTCTGAATCGAACCAATTCCAAAATTCATAAAAACCCTTTTGAGTTAAGAAAAGGGTAGTTCGATAATTAAAATAAGGATCGAATTCATGGATCATTGACTCATAACGTAAGACACTAAACAAACGAGTAATAAAAGCTAAAATATAGACTAAACAAAGGATTGAGATACGGATCAGGAGTTCTTGTTGTTTGGTTTTGAGCTTGAGTGATCTGAGTGAAAGTGTTGACAGCAGATCTGATTTGAGAGACATTGATGGTGAGGAGGATGAGGATGGTGGTGCTGATGTTTTGGTTGTGCTGCCGTTTATGGGTTCTGTTTTGGTGACTGCCATTGTTTGTTTTTTTTTCAGAGAAATTGCGGGTTTTGGCGATTTTTATAGTTTTGGCATTTTTAAGGTTTCATGATAAGTGACAGAAAGAGAGAGTGGTGTTTGAGCTATGGGGGTTTAAAGGTGTTATACGGAGTTGTTTTCGTTTTCGTTTTTTTTGTTTTTTGTTTTGTTTTTTTTTTTTTTGAGCAAATTATAAATTAGTCTGTTTTGATAAATGAATTAATTAATTCTTTTTATTCTAAAAACTAATCATTTAACTTTTTATATTTTAATTTTATTAATAATTTAGTCACCTTTTATCAGTTTTTCATTATATTATTGATGATATATTATACTATGATATTTTTTATTCTAAAATTATTCTTCATTTAATATTTTATTTCTTTCATTCACTTATTCTTTTTTTTCCTCTCTCATCAACGATCGTATGACTTTTCTCTCTATCTCTTCAATCAATGCTAAGAGAGTGAATATTGATGTTGTGCTTCATACAACTAAAACACCAAGTATTTAATTGGACACAATTGCATATAATTCAATTGAAACGTTGAAATTACTTTTTATTGCAACTTGAGAGAGTGGCTGTGATGATCGAAAAGAGCAAAAAAAAAAAAAAAAAGTGAATAAATAAGAGAAATAATATATCAAAAGAATGATAATTGATAATAAAAAAATTACAGTAAGATACCTCATTGTTAACCTAACTAAAAACCAACAAAAAAATTAAGTTATTGACAAAATTAAAACAAAATAATAATACTAAATAATTAGATTTTAAAATTGAAAAAAAACTAATTAATTTATTTTTCAAAACAATAGGAACTAATTTATAATTGAATTTTTTTTTATTTATTTGGGTAAAAGCCCTAATCCCTAGAGAGTTCGATTGAAGGAAAGGTTATTAATTTTTCTCAGGGCTGATGTCTGATCATGGGCTAGTGAAGTTGAAACTAAATTTCAGAAAAAGAATTAGAGATGGGATGAATGACTTGTCATTTTGTGACAGGATATACTGAGAGACCAAGACTTTTGTGATGGGAATTTGGAATCTTATTTGCTAGAAATGGATTACGACTTTAAGAAGAAGTTTCTTTTTTTCACTTTATGTCTCTTTCTCTTTATCTGTATCAATGTGTGGGTTAGAATAGCCTTGTATAATGTGGGCTTTCTGAATGGTAGCAAAAAGCCCAAACTAGCTTTTCATGGTTGGGATGAAAAAAACTAGAAGAAAAGACAAAATTATAACTTAGTCCCTACATTTAGGACGAACAGATTGAATAATCCTTTGGATTTTGAATATAATTAGTCTATTGACATGTATTCACGGTTAGTTTATTAACATATAATTGAACTATCCAAAATAATAAGGCACTTTTATTGAAAAGTAAAATATTATTTTTGCTTGTAATATTTGATATTTTTCATAATTTAATAATTTTAAATAGCAAATTTGAAGTTAATAATATAAATTAGCCTATTCACATGTGGATTTCTGGATTTTTATGCTTTGGTATGGTTTTATGCTTTGGTCTTATTTTAAAAAAAAATATTCATTGTCTTTTATATAGACTAATTTAGACCATCTGGATTTAAGAAAGGATTACATAGTCCATAACATAATTTTTTTAAAGCTATTTATATTATTTTAAATAATTAAAAAAATTGACCCAAAAAGAAAAAGAAAAAAAAATCTACCAAAACCGAACACAAATTCGGTTCAGATTTGATCATGCATTTAATGAGTTTAATCAAAAATCGAATTGAAATGTTAAAAACCAGAACTAAAAAATGGAATGCTCACTCCTAAAAGTTATAAGGCTGTGGCAATGGATAGAAAGGGTGTGCCAATAGTCTTGGAAAAACATGGAGAGTAAATATATGTTAGCTTTTTTAATTAAAGGGACTAATTAATTTATTTATTAAATCTGCAAGGATTAAATTATAATTTACTCAAAAGAAAATTGATGAACAGGTAAGAAGGGAGAACGGAACAAGATGACTTACTCGCTTTCTTTTATTGGAATCTGTGCATGAAGAAAGAACAAGGGCACGAATTTAGATTTTTTTAATTAAGAACTTAATTTTTTTCTATACAATTTAAGAATTATACTCTTATAATATTGTTATTTTAGATCCTAATATGTCACGAAGCACACGTGATCGAATTTAACTAATAACAGATTGTCACGTATCATGATAGATCTAAATTGAAAAATTAAATTAATGATGTGACAATTTATTATTGACTAGGATCCGAAACAACAATAATATAAAAATAAAACTCTTAAATTGGATTAAAAAAATTAATATCTCTATAAAAAAATTCGGAATTATAAAATATCTCAACACTGTAAAACCCTTTACTTATTTAGGCCAAGCCAATACAACTTGAACCAGAAAAGGAACAAAAGTGTACAAAACAATTTCACCCACCCATTTCATAACATAAACAGAGATCGTTTCTGCAAGGTAAACAACAGATTGAGAGACGCCCATCTTTCCTTCGAGCATGATTTTGAGATTTATGATCATTTTCTTTCCCAGTTACAGAACGTTGCAAGCTGGTACTGCTTTTTTGAGAAACAGAGCTTGTTAAACCAGATCAGTTTTTCCTTTTCCTTCTTCTTTTCACAAAAGAAAAGTTGGGGTTCCGACCTTTTACAAAAGGAGAAAGATGGGTACGTAAATCACTGTCCTCTGAACATAAGCAGAAAGTATACATATTGCCTTACCCTCATGCCCTACTGATTCGACCAACACAGGCTTTTTGTTATCTAAACTTCAATATAGTTTTCTATGTAAAAATGTGTGCATTTATGTATACATGTATATTGATAAGATGCAAGGAAGATCATAAAAAAATAAGCTAATCATAAAATAAACTTAAATTCGCTCCCTTGCCCTCTCGTCACGTTCACAAAGTATTTGATTTGTTTTTTATTTTTTAAGATAACCATTTTATTCTTTGTCAAATAGACTTCCTTCAAAAATAGCTTTATACCTTGATCTTTAACGCACATACTATTCTTTTAGCCAATAAAATTCACAATTCTTGATGTTTATGCATTCCACTGGCCAAATTACGTGGCAAATAATATCTTAATTTTTCAATTTTTTTTTTAATTTTTAATCCTTCAATTTTGTCTTGTACATATTGCTACAAATAAAAATGTGTTAGTTCGCTCAAATTTTTAACGTTTTATGAAAAAACTTCGTCCCTTAATAAGTTAAAAATAACGACCTAATTAAATTTATAATAACAACAACAATAATAAAGAAAATAACAGTTCTAATCAAAATGTCAAAATGTAACAAAAAAAAACTATATAATAATAATAATAATAAGTCATAAAATATAATAGTGAATGAAGTAACTAAAAGAAATTCATTAGGAAAAAAAGAATTAGTAGAAAATTACCTACAATATTCCAAGCATCCTAAAAAAGATAACATTAGTATTATTCTAATTTCCACACATATATTATGTAAATTGATACAAAAAGTAATTCTGACAAATAACTAAAATTATAACCACGAACATTAAAAATTATAAAGAAAATGATCGGTAGTAATTTCGAAACGAATGCACCAAAATTATGAAAACAATAGCCAAAATTTAGGAAGTAAAGGGTCAAACATAATATAAGAAATCTGCAAAATTAAGAAATTTAGTGAAAAAATAAATCAATACTCAAAACCTAATAATTAATAGCAAATTTAGAGCAAGTAGAAAAACGACAAATAAATAATGTACATATTTCATGAAAGGTTGTTGTGGGACGTGTCATGAACGTGTTAAAGGGAAGGAGAAAGTTTTATTTTGTATCCCGAGAGTAATATAGAGACTGTAAAAATTAAAGAACAAATAATATATTATTTAGGGTAAAATTGTAAGTTTATTAAAGAAAATAGGAATATGGTTGACTCAAATAGGAGTGCTAATGCCACCTCTTTTCCTTCCCGCCAGAGAAATCAAAAAGTAATTAGTATAAGTTATTTTATAAAAAAAAAATAGATACAATAAGAAAAGATAAATAAATAAATAAAAAAAAAATTTTGAGACAACTTGAAAATTTTTTTATTATTTTTTATGGATTTGGATGTAATTTTTTTTATGTGTTTATCTATCTCCTAAAAAATAAACTTATAGAATAATTACTATATATATATATTAGTTATTCTTAGAATATTATAAAGTTTATCCGCACCACCTTATCTTAAAAAAACTACTTTTCCAATTCTGGGATCACAACATCAGCTTTCAAAATCTCACTTATCTCTTTAAAGAAGAGTGAACTAATGATTTTAGTTTTTGCATGATTTTTAAACTAGGGTTCTTTGACTTTTCTTTGAATGAGATTATATGATCTAGAGAGGCTGAAAAGTTGCAAAATTTGGTACGTGGACAGTTGAAAAAGTTTATAGACTTATTAGTTTAAAATTAAGGATTCTTAAAAATAAAATTAAAAAAAAAAAACAAACAAACAAAAAATGTTAAAGTTTGATTCTACCTTCTTATTTTATAGAGTAAATTGATTAGTGTTGATTATGTTTTTCATTTTTTTTTCTATTTCTTAAAATAAAAAATAGAATAAATTGAAAAAAGAGAGATTAATTTACAATAAAATTTAAAATTATAAAGCTAAATAATTATTTTTTTAAAAAAAAGACTAATTGATTTGTTTCTTGAAGCTATATGGACTGATCCTGTTTTAAGACATTTATCGCAGATCAAGAAGACAAATTGGAAGGGAATTTATTGTTTTAATGAACCAGGTTAATTCCTTTGAGAATTCTTTGGACTACGACAAACTGGATCAAGTAAATGCGACCCTCTTCGTAGAAGGTGGACATAAGCTATCCAACAAGATTAGATTTATAGATTTGAAGCTGGTGCACACAACAAGTTCGAAATAGGAGATCGAAGAAAACTCAATCTCCATTGATGAATTCCTACTATTTATCTAGAACCAAGAATACATCTCAGATAATGAGATCTAAGTCACGATGCTTGATAGGGCAATGAATCTTATAATAATGTCTGAATTTTCTTTAAAAAATAAAGATCTTGTTTTCTTCTAAATGATAACTCTTAGTGATAGATTTTAGTGGCTTGAATCCCAGAAGAGCAGAACATGATATGATAGTGATGATCTCGACTTAGATTTTGAAGTAATATTTAAGGTTTTTGTTATTCTTTCGAAAAAGAACACGAAAGCAATCCAAGAAAAAAAAGAGGAAGAGCAACCTCTTCAAACACTATATATATGCTTTTGCTTGTTTGTGTTGGTAAAATACTGATAGGATTCTACAGTGAGGTCTTGAATTTTCATATAAATGTTAAGTTGTAGAGACTGATATGGACAGAGATTAGCATCATAAAGCATTATGAAGAGTTAGTATGACGATGTCATTAGCCAATTAGCGAACAGGGGTCAAGGGAGCAAGTGCTCCTTACGGGGCTTTGGGGTGGAGCTCTCGAAAGGTCTATAAAATATTGAGTCGGTGTACAAGTCCGTTAGGCCATTTTCTTATAATCTTAGTTATCCATATTATAAAAAAAGAAAACATTACTTGTATTTGACACTTGACAAAATTTAATAAAAAGATCCTAATACAGTTGTAGAATAAATTCCATTATCGAATTGGTATTGTGTGATTGTTTTTATATTTCTACATTATTGTTTTACTTGATTCGTTTCTTAATAATAAGCAGATAAATGTACGGCTAAAGTTCGCCATAAATTGAACAATGGCATGAATTCACGTTTTATTCATTTCAAAGGCAAAAGTAAATGCAAATTATATTCCAGTTTGATCGTGAGCTGTAACTTATGCGTGAGGAAAACTAAACTTCCCATGAGCTTCTTCCACATCAATTTCATTTTTCTATTTAACTCAATTATTGAATGAGTGATGATGCATTTATATCCCAAAAAAATTTAGTAACAAAAATTATTATTAACATTAATAAGCCATGGTTTTTATTAATTAAATCAGTAATTAAATGAATTTCTTACCATGCTATAAATCAATAACTTTAATTGAAATTTTGGAGGAAATTAAAGTACTTGTATTGTACGAGTAATACATAGAACCTCAAAAGATGCAGAATCAGGCTTTGATCTCTGATCCAGCAGCAAACCAAGTATCCGTGAATCAACAAAGGAAGAAGTTAAAAAACAAAATCGCAAGAACGTAGAGGCAGAGGCATAGGCAGATCAGCACCATCAGAATCATCACATCAGCACCATCAGAAACATCACATAGCCAAATTTTCTTATTTGTTTTAAGGAATCTCTCATTTTCCCAGAACAGGACCAAGAGGTCACCACATACTCCAAATAAAAACTACTGACAGATTATTACCTTACTATACACATTCAGCTGTTCTCCTTTAGCAATATCTTGAAGCGAAACAAAGGATGGCTTGTATTCAATAGCATGGAGATTTTCCTCATCACGTCGACAAATTATAATTTCCTGCAAACACTTTAACCTTGTGTCATAACTAACCACAAATGAACCTCGGATTAAAGTTAAGTTGAGATTAAAGTGCTTTTTCTCAACCTCCAAACTGTTGTTACCGGTGATTACCCTTTCTTCTACATGAGTTAGGAAAATGCTTGAATTAAGTTGGACGATAATGTCAGTGGATGGTCTTGCAAGCTGGAGTTCAAGAAAGAAAGGATCCGAATTAAGTGAAGCCAAGTTTTGCAAACACACTTAACAGTTTCCAAGGGTTTTCATCGACATTCTTGAGAATATTTCTATCATCAAATGGTTTTTTCTTTGCCGTCTATTTTAGACTTAGCCTGTACCGTCTGTAGTTGCCTTCTAGAATGACAAAAAAAAAAAAAAAACAAACAAACAAACAAACGGAATTAAAAAGAGAAGATATACATAGGTTTTTTTTTAATAATTTATTTTTTTAATACTATCCCAGAGCCATTGTTAATCTAAAAACTAAAAATATTTTTAAGTTATTTTCTATCAAACTGATAAGTGAAAAAGTTTTTTAAACTTGAAATTTATTCCGATTCAGATTAGCTTATGCTTTTCTTTAATTAATGAGAAGAAAAAAATATACACAAATCTACGTTACCTTGTGTTTATTTCTTTTTAGAGAAAATAAATATGATAGGATTCAAATAGCAAATATTTGACACATGTCAAAAAGCTATCTCAACTCAAAAATTTAATATGTTAGATGAGGTTCAAAAATAGTATTATATTACTCTTTAATAAACTTATTTTTGTTGGTTAATAAGAATCATCATCACAGAGGAATTTACCATTGCAAGAAACGAAAAGGATAAATTTCACAAATCACAGATTCACAGCCACCTCAACACACGACTACAAGACTCAGTGAATAGTGCTCATAAATTTTCATCATACCGTTAAATTTCTGACCTGGAAAACTTTTGCATGCAATAAGGACTTACCTAATCAAAAGATGAAAACAGAGCAAGGAGAAAGTAAAAAACTAAGCTAGAAGGAAGATTACTAGAATTTCTTTGAACGTCCGGTCCAGGCTCCACAGCTAATGAGCTTTGTGAGAACGCTAGGGTTTCTGCGTGAAAAGAACATTTCTGTTAATTTACTCAGGAGGTCGGAGGTTTCATGGAGAGTAAGGCTTATGTGAACGAAAAGAATGATACGTAAAATTATATTTACTTGGATTATACATTAATCCTCAAGTACAATCCTAATCGGTTTAGACTTTAGAGTTGTATTTTACTTAGGACGCTAATTCCTGCACTGGTAATAATTTTGCACAGCTAAAAGAATTATTTTGAAATTATCTCATTTAAGAAGTACTTGTTTTGTTTGGTTAGTGAAGGAAAATATGCTAAAATCTACACACAAATATATATATATATATATATATATATATATATAATATAAAAAACCCTCTTCATCGCTATTCATTATTCATCGGCAGAACTTTATGGTTCCGATTACCAAATTACTCTAAAAGGCTATTAAAACAATTCTTTTAACCTAGCAAATAACATTTCAAAATAAATAATAGAAAAATCATTCTAAAACTCAAGTTAAAAACACGACATTGGGTTTAATTTTTAGATTAAAAATTTTCAAGTATTAAAATACCCAAATCTAGTAAAATCTCTCACTTGATAATGGTTTCGCCACCAATAGTGATAAAATCCTACTAGAAAGATCACAGTACAAACACCTAATAATTTAAGAATTAAATTAGAAGGAAAAAAATTAGGAGTTTAAATTAAAAAAAAAAAAATAGTTCAAGTGGTTTTTGCATTGACTGGCCAAGGAAAATATAAAACATACAGGAAAATATCGATTAGATCTTACGAAGGGTCTAAAACTCTAAATCAAATATCTAGGCAATTACTTTCAATTTGCAGAGACAATAGATCCAGACAAACTCAAAAGTTACAAAATGAACTACAACGGTGAAGCCAACCCCGCTACTCATGATTCAGTCTGTATGGATTTATTTTTTTGATAATAATAAAAAAATATATATCCTGTTCTAAACTAATCCGTGCCATCAATTCCACCGCCATGTCATTGGCTAGCATTTGTAAGCAATGTGATGCGACCAGAAAAGATGAACTTAAATTAGAGATATCATATCCAGGACTACAGACTAGAGGCAAAACTTCTGCAGATTTATATGGAAAGTAGGCCAGGGAAATGAATAAAAAAGCAGGGAACACACCAACTTCATCAATCATAGAAGCAATAACATACAATTGTCTCTTTTATGATCAATTCAGGTCCAACCTTCCGTCTTATTGCAAATTTCTCAATGGGAGGAACCAAAAAATCTTCCTCTGTTTGCTATATACCTGCATCTCATATTTGGCTCAAAGAAAGATGGAAACCCCAAAAACTATAAATATCTTACCTTTTTTTTTTTTACACCAATCAAGAATTTAACTAGAGCATTCACTTCTCAAAAATAGATGGCAAACTTAACTTGTCCAAATTAAATTGCGAGACCCCTCTGCTTAAAAACATCAAGCATGGTAACACCAATTTTTGCAGGAGACTCTACCACAGTAACTCCAGCTTCCCTTAGGGTCTTGATTTTGTCTTGTGCAGTACCTTTTCCACCTGCAACAATAGCTGCACAAACAGAAACCACAAATACGGATGTCAAGCCAAATAGCGTCCCAAATGACAATATATCATGCAAGCTAGCATCATTCATAGGGCAATGAAGACCTCAGTTCAAGGTAGTGATGACTAATGCCGAAAACGTCTAAAAAGTTAATTGAAGACAGCAGAATTATTGTTGATCAAGTTTGAATTTTCTCCGCAACAAAACAGTAACCTCAAGGGACTTCATATGTAGATTAATCTTCACCTCCCTATTGTTCAAGTTGCCATTAAAATGTTATAGTCGCACAAAAGTTTAAATGTACAGGACTTTGCTGAGTCTAGGGTTTCACCCTCTTTTGGTTAGCTCCATGCATCTATCGGGGTTGCAGACAGAACCATTACAAAGACATGCTGAAGTCATTTCAAAAAAGCTGGGAGATAATTTTCATAGAAAATCCTGCCTTTTTTGATCTATCTAAATCAGGATCTATACTGCCAACCAGTACATAGGGATTATCATTTTGCAATACAAAAGCTTCAGCAGCTTTGAGGATACACAAATTTAATAATTTTGAACCTCAACGAATTCAACCCCCTCTAAAAGTATATAAGAATGACATGAGGTCAATTAATGCAGTATCCCCGTCTCTGGTTTATCTGGCAGCAGCATTTCAAGTGCTTTCTGAAATAAAATGCTGCTCTATCTAAAAGGCACCCCCATTATCAAATACTTTGTTTTTGTGTGTTGACTCAAAAGCAGCTGTGTAGTTAACATGTTCAAATTATACTCAAGTGGAATGCAGCTTAATGAATTTACCAGAAAGGCCATGCAAACTCTTCATGCTAAAGAAGACGTTTCAACACTTTAATGACATTTCAAGGATTTCTATGCCAAACTGCAACTGCTCTCAAGGATTGTTAAATTCTAAAGCAACATGACCTATTTAAAAAGGGTAGTAAATACAAGGACACATGGGCAAGAAACTTGTCGAGAAACTATCTAGAAATATTCTCCGGGTACTAACATCAGGAGCATACAAAGACAGCCAACAAGCAATGATTTCAGGAGCCCAATGTTGAGTTTATGCACCAGACCAGAAGTTAATTTCAAAACACAGTGTTTGGGCTTCGCTCAGCACTCACAAGTGATGTAAGGAAGTCTGGGAAACTTTAAAAACTTCAGTGAATAAGTGGTTTACTTGAGTTCCAGGTTTGATGTGGAAGACATTGGGGGTAAATTTGCTTCCAGACGGAATGGGGATAAAAACATGCTTGATTAGTAGGTTTCAACGTTGATTTCAGACCTTAACCAAAGAAAAGGCTTGAAGCTATAAAGATTATTAATATACACAGTGCTTCTAAATTACTCAAAAGTCTTTTGTGCAAGCAACCATCCTCCAACCAAAATCCTGATTTCCTTCTATCAATATCCTTGTTGGAGCCACTTTTCATTCATCCCATGCTCAATTCGGCAGTGATTATTCTGAGAATCTCTATTTTCAATTTGATTCCGCAGACAAAATTCAACCCTTAACCTTCCACTCAGTACTCACCCACCCTCCTAAACCAAATTTCTTTGATTTAAATTTTACAGTTGTCTGTCCACCATTCCCAGCAAGACACCACATTTATACTGGATTTTTTTAGGCTTCCCTGCTTCTACTTTAATCTATATGAATGTGTATACCAACATACATGCACACACAAAAAAGAAACATAAAACTAATATAAAGTGCACGACCAAAAACAACATACCTCCAGCATGTCCCATACGACGACCTGGTGGCGCAGTTAGTCCAGCAATGAAAGCCACAACAGGCTTCTCAGTTCCACTTTCCTGTTAAAATGGATTCAGTTTGAACAAATATAAACAGACACAAAGAAATGCTCCAGCAGTAATAATGCACAGCAGGAATCTTATAAGATACAAGCTACAAAGAAACATCTTATATACACTAGATTATTAATAAAACGTTGACTTATCTTATATCCCCAACAATTTTCTTTTCCTCAGGCAATGAAGTAAAAGACTTCAAAACTTCAAAGACTCGACACGAACACGTTTGAAGAGAAACTAAGGCATTAACTATTATAACCTTGATAGAAGATTTATTTACACACGTCACTAGCACTCTCTAAAACACATTATCAGCAACCCCAATTCAATTAAATAAAATAACATCATAAAAAATCAAACTGAAAGGAAATGTGGACGAGCAACAATCGAATTGTCAATCAAAGAATGACAACTGAAACGATATCTCGGCCATCAGATTTGTTCTACCTCGGTTCTTTCAAAACAAAGAGACACTAAGAAATTTGTCACTTGTCCCCCTTAACAGAACCGAGGTTTTGCTTTATTAATGAAAAAAAAAAAATTCTATAAACAAAAAGAACAGAAACCATGAAAGTGCAGACCAGAAGACTTGAGTCTATGTAACCATAAGAATCTGAGTTCAGGGCATCCACAAAAAGTGCATAAAGGACAATAGACATACTGAAAACACGTAATCTGAAAACCTATAGTTATATTAAATTTAACTCAAGTACAGAGAAGAACTCAACATTCTATGTCCCAATAGATATAACCATCAATATTTCACAAAAATGGAAGGTTGAATTACAGGGATTTTCTGTAAACCAATTATGAAATTGATTATAGACAAAACACCTGAGTACAAATCATAGTGCACTGATGAATGGGCAGCCATTACCTTTATTAATGCAGCAGCATCCTCTTCTGCAGTTCCACCTATCTCTCCTATAAGAACGATGCCTGAAACGCGTAATGCAATTCTAGTTCACATGTATATCATGTTTGTACACTATCTACTGCGATTCTTTCTGGTGCATCTATTGGATATCAACATTAAAAAAAAAAAAAAAAGACTTAAAAAACTTAATGCAATTCTAGTTCACATGCATATCAGGTTTGTACACTATCTACTGCAATTCTTTCTGGTGCATCTATTGGATATCAACATTTAAAAAAAAAAAAAAATGGAGCAATAAAATGACAAAAAAAAAAAGCAGTGAAGAAAAAAGCCAGCAACCACCCCCCAACCGAAAAAAGAAAAGAAAAGAAAAATCCAGAATAAAGAAGGTGGTTTTGGAGAAACTCATTTATCAATGATGAGATAACTCATTCTTCTAAGGAAACAAATAGCAAAATACAGATATCATATATTTTTATCCTATTAGTGTATCTAAGAATTTGAAGCCAGAAACACAGACTAGCAAAATGAACAATTCAAAGTATCTAAGTAGTGCACCAGCAAGGTTAATCAAGAAAACAAATGGTTACACTTTCAGACGATTTCCATCAGGTCTCTGCACACAAATTGCTCCTTCAGTCATGAGAGTAACAAGCAAATGCTTCAAACAAACAGGAGAGACTTAGAGAACACATATTGAAAACAACGCCTGCATCTTCACCTCCTAAACAACTAAGTCTAAGCCATGAATAGTAAATCACGCTCAATGACAGAGTTGATAAGAACATACATGTCTCTGTGTCTGTGTCATGTGTTCCTAGCAATAAATTCTGCCACATTCTTCATTTACAAGTAGTTAAAACAAGAAAGGAAATATTTCCGACAACAATTTACCTTCTGTTTGAGGATCTACAAGGAACTTCTCGATACAATCAACAAAGTCTGTTCCATTGAAAGGATCTCCTCCTATACCAACACAAGTGGATTGTCCAAGGCCAACAGCAGTTGTTTGGAAAACCTAATAAAATAAAATAAATAACCATTAGACTATAAACAAATAAAGTAACATGAGGAAAAAAAAAAAAAAACTACTAGTCACAAAAGACTCGATAAATATCTATTAGAGCAGGAAGCAGATGGCATGTAAAACTCTAATTTTCCTTGTATATTCAAGGATGCAATTTGTGTATTAAGGCTTAGTAGGAAACACACACACACACAGACTTTTTTAAAAGGAAAATTAGGCCTTGCTCTTCAAACAATCAATTGAACGAGAAAACCCAACTAACATTTTATCAACATATTATCATCACACCAAAAAATTCCTTACCGCTTCATAGGTCAAAGTACCAGATCGAGAAACTATTCCAACACGACCAGGTTTATGGATGTAACCAGGCATTATACCTATTTTACATTCTCCTGGTTTAATAATTCCAGGGCAATTTGGCCCAATCAACCGAGTTTTACTTTGCCTTAGAGCAGCCTTCACACGTACCTGAAATTTGCCAACATCAGCTCAAAATCACTTTCAGAAGAACGAAGGAAAAAAAAACAAACATAATAACCGGTCCAGTAATCAACTACACATCGATCCAAACTCCAACAGCGAGTCAGTATATTTACCAAAATTTAGTTTATCCAGAAACCATAAAACTAACAAAACCAACTTATCAAATAATGAAAAATCACCACACCACTGAACTACTACTTTAAACAAGCAAAACGCTATTTCATTTCCAAAATTAATTAAGTTACACATCATTCATCCAACACTCCTTGTTGACAACACAAATATCCAACAACTAAAAAAGATCAATTTTACCATATCATGCTGAGGAATTCCTTCAGTAATGCAAACAACAAGATCCAACTCAGCTAACATTGCCTCCAAAATTGCGGCTGCAGCAAATGGTGGAGGAACATAAATAACCGAAGCATTAGCCTTAGTTGCGGCCTTTGCTTCTGCCACTGTGTTGAAAACTGGAAGCCCTAAGTGCTCCGTCCCTCCCTTCTTCGGCGTTACACCTCCTACCTACTTCAGCAAATAATCAAACAAACCGCACTTAAAAAATCACACACCGCCACGTCTCTCTGTTTACCGTAAATTTTGAATTTTTTATCCACATAAAAATTAAGAAAAATAAAAAATGAAATTTGAATTATAATTTAAAAAAATGCATAAGAAATTTGTAAACCATTTTAGTGCCGTATTCGATGGCTTGTTCGGTGTGGAAAGTGCCGTTTTTTCCAGTGATGCCTTGGCAGATCACGCGAGTGTTTTTGTCGACGAAAACCGCGGGAGGTGGTGGTGGAGCTGCCGCATAATGGCGAGTCTGAGCAGCCGAGGACGGGGAGAAGTTGAAGAGAGAAGTGGTGGAGGAAGGCTTGCGTGAAGCGATCGAATCGAGTAGTTTAGCGGCGGCTTGACGAGCCATCGAATCTTTAAGGGGTTTGGAGAAGAAAAGGTTCTGCTAACAGAAAATTAGAAGAGCAAATAACCAGGAGGAATGGGCTGCCGCAGCTAAAGTTGAAGATTCCAATTTGTATTTTTTTGGTATTTTCCAAGCTACTAACGGATAGCAGTGGTGCTATTTCTTTTTCTTTTTTATGTTATTAAAAATATAATAAGATAATTAATACTCTTTAGCCCGAAAAAACAATTGATATTTATTTATATATCATAAAGTATTTGTTTGATAAAAATTTTAAATAATATATTTTTTAAAAATATTTCTAATTAAATTTTATTTTGTAAAAAAATTTAATTATAATTTAAAAAATAAAAGCATTTTTGTAAAGTATGAACAAAGATAAATGATATAATAATTAATAATTTTTTTAATATATTAAAAAGTCAAAGAAGACAGTTTCTATGAGACATAAGGAGTAACCATTTTATAATTTTCTTAATAATCATTTTACAGTTAATTTAGTTCTTATGTTTTCAAAAAATAAATAAATTAATCTCTCATGTTTTAAAAATCAATTATTTAGTCTTTTGATCAATATTAATTACATTTAATTTAATATTATGTTATGTTAAAAACTAACCTAATTTATTTAAAAAAATTCTTGAAAAAAAAATTAACACGGTACGACAATTCTTTTTTTTTTAATTTATATTTTTTAATAAATTAGATTGGGATTTGAATTTTTTATGGAAAGATATTTTTGTTAGCTTGCATACATTCAAGAATGAATTAAAATATAATGATATATTGAAAAAAATTAAATTTGTAAAGACTAGACTTAAAATATAAGAATGATAACCTTTTTTCTAATTTAATTTACTAAATTAGTGTAAAAATATTAATTTAGGTCAATTAATTAATAAAATTACCATAATAACATAAAGTTATATATAGTTTTAATCCATTTATTATCCAATAAGATTTGGATACATCTCTACTGTTTTCCGTTGTTGTGGCTTGAGTAGAGAAATGGTTCTCCAAAGAAGCACTCTCCTAAATTGTAATGGTTTGATAATTGATAGGAAAAGATGAAATAAAAACCAATCTAAAGAATTATCTAGAGACAACAATGATAATGAATGTCCATTCATTAACCGTTTCACTGTCATCATAACTTATCGATATGCCATGAACTTTAGAGATTCACTCATGTCCATAGCCGTATAACTAAAATCGTAGGGATGAATTATTAGTATTCTATCATTTAGGTTTTGTTTATAAGTTAGACAGATGAAGAAATAGGCATAGTTTTTTATTTTGTTTAATAAGAAATATGTAGGGATGATTTACTTCTCTAGTTTTGAATTTTATTTTATATAGGAAATTAAATGAATAATTTTCATGTAAAAACTCAATGTTAGAAGCGAGTAGAAAACGTAGAAAATTAATTTATAAATTACGATTGTAAATAAAATATGTAAGAAGAATAAGGGGAAACAAATCACCAAAAAACTGCACCAATCGATGTGAAGATTTACAATAATTTTGATAATGATTATACAAAAGGCATTAGTTTGAGAAGTTGATTATTATATTTGAGAGTTGGTTCCATTATTATCCCTACCGTGGAAAAAAAATGGAGAAATTAAAACAAGAGAATCTTCCCATTCTTCTTTATTATTCATAAAATAAATAAAAAATAAAAACATTGTTTTTCATTTTTGGATAAATTTTGTAATATTCAAAAAGTAATTATTGTACATGTATAGTAGTTATTCCATTAACCCACTTTAAGGAGAAAGATAAACACATAAAAAAATTATATCTAAATCCATAAAAAATAATAAAAAAAATTTTATGTTGGCTCAAATTTCTTTTATTTAATTTTTTCTCTTCTATATATTTTTTTTTTTTTGGTTCATTATCTTCCTATAGAGTAACTTAATATTAATTATTTCTTAAGTATTATAGAATTGTTCAAATTTCTTTGCTCATGTAACTCAAGCCACAATAATGGGAAGTAGTAACGATGTATCATGCCTCATTCGAGAAGAGATGGATTGGAACCGCATATAATCTTATGTTATTATTATAATTTTATTAATTAGTTGATATATATATCAGTTTAGTAAATTAAATTAAAAGAAAAAAAGTGTCATGATTTATGCTTAGGTGGAATCCTACATGACAAAATCTACTCTAATGCAGTAAATAAATTTAAAACAATCCTTTTTTTTTTAAAAAAAAAAAAGGATTTTCAAATACTCTAGCGTCGAAAAAAACATCCTTCATGATACATCATCTACGGCTTTGGATTTATGACTCGGACATGCCAGCATTTATTTTAATTAGTTTGTCTTATAATTTCTCCTCTCGCTGCTTCTTGTGTCACCAGGTTTATTTGTATTCTTTTCCTCACCATTTTCTTTTCAATAAAGTAATAATATTATGGTCTTGGTTTATCAATAATAATAATAATAATAAATAAATTTTTTTTTAAAAAAAGAATTCATTCTTTGCATGCTACATGATGAAAAATGAGTAGATTATAACTTAATTCCCATAGTTTATTAAATGAATTGATTATTCCTTGCAGCATTAAAAATAATGAGATATTCCCTTGACCAGCTTTGACTATTCTCAATTTAGTAATTTTTTGTGCCAAAATTGCTTTGTTTTCTAATCAAAATTGCCCTTTTTTTTTCTGATTTCTCCTTTATTTCTTTTATTTCTTGAAAATAAGACAAAATTAATGAAAATATAATGTGGAATTGAGGAAAGTACTAGGTTGTTTCATAGGAAAAAATGACTAAGTTGTAAGAAAATTTTAACAATAGGATTAAATTTATAATTTTCAAATGAGAATTGATTGATTGATTTCATTAAACTGAAGGGACTGATCAGTTATACTAACTTGATGAAATATCGATAAGAATCTATGGATTATTTATTATTTAATTATTATCATTGTTATCATTATTATTATTTGAGGATATAGTTGAATATTAATGATGAGAACTTGAGTTTTTGTATAATCAACAGTGCATGGTTGAACTTCACAATAACTGAACATGGCGAAAATTCACATTTTATTCATTTTTTTCTTTATCATGGACATTTTATTCATTTAATAAAATGTAATTACGAATTATATTTCTTGCTAACAATAACTTAAGCACAATAAAAACATTTTCACATGCATCTTTCACACCAAATTTGTTTTCCTATATAATTTGTTTATTAAATGAGTCACGATGCATTTATGTTTCGAGATTATTTAGTAAAAAAAATCAAAGCAATATCTTTTTAGTTTAATAAGTTATTAAATGAATTTTAAAGAAGTCTAATTGAAATATAGGAGGAAATTAAAAATACATGGAGTTAAATCTTTTAATTTATAATTATATCAACCATTATAAGTTTTTTTCTCACCTGCTAAGTTTTCTTCAATGGGTTTTGCTAGTGAAAGGTGGTGCTCTATTGGATTTGGAGCTGGTGGAAGGAAGTGAGGCAATGGAACAGGTTGAGTTGGTGCTAAGAGATCTGTGAAAATTTCTAATTTGTGTCTCAGTACTGTTTCATCTATATCATAAAATGAAAAAAAAAAACAAATTGATGCATGGGTCATGATAAAAATAGCATAGACTTGAAGAACAGAGGAAAAGTAAAAGATTTTCTTTATAATTTTATTTGTTAATCACAAGCAAATGACACCAATATTTTTTTTAACTCGGCTGGCATAAGAGTTGTCCCCGATTCATTCACCAGAAATATATCACAAAAAGGAAAATTTCAGAGTTATTGAAAAATAAACTTTATAAGTTTGACTGAAAAATTAAAAAATTATTAAGCTTGCCTAATGATTATTAAAAAACCTATTTCAATTTAAAATTTTAAACTATACGACACATAAATTTAGCTCAAGCTTAACGACTATGAAAAATAGCAGGATGCTAGTACAACACATTCGCTAGATATACAATATAAATTAAGGCAGTGCCTTGTTTTATCGATCGAAACGCATAAATAAATAAATAAATAAATTATTTCAAGCAGATGGTGGCTCCCTACAAAATTGAATTTAAAGGTATAAAAATTAATCATTCTGTCAATTTGGGCTGAGTTTCCATCCACTATTTAGCCAAGACAAATAAAGAATTGCCACGTGTTCATTAATTTAGTTTTATCTACCAATAAACCACATATTTTCTTTTAACTTAAAAAATAAAAGTAAATTAACTAAATTACAAATTACGAAATTTAAAATTAAGCAAAAGTCTATATTATGCGTAGATCCACCAAAAATAATCAAAATCAAAAGTCCCTCACTCATTCCTCTCTTCGCCTCCAATTCCTCCATGCCCTGTGTCAGCCTCTTTTCAAAATCACAACCTTTTCGTCCGCCCTTAATTAATTCCTCAGCTTTCTTCCTCGTTTCTCCAAACCCCATAACACGATCACTCTTAAACCCGAGCTTAAGGTCAAAAGGAAGATCTACGAACTAATTAATGATATAGGGATTAATAACATTGTATTTGTATTTTTCAATTATTGTTGTTGTCGTTGTTCTGCTTTTAATTCTGAGTTAGTGTTAGGATTAGGTTTCGGATTTGAGGAAGGAGAGTGTGGAATGGATGAAAAGAGATGAAGAAATTAAATTTAGTAGCAGGAACTGAAGAAATTAATGATGAGAAAGGTGTAGATAAAATACCAGTGGTTGGGGAAGAAAATAAATCCTTTTGTGCAATTATGTAATAAAATGATTCACAATAATCCTGCACTAAAATAGCTTTTATTATTGGAAAGAAATATTTAACTCTTTGAGATTTTTGAAATTTTCATATAATTAAATTTTCACCTTTAGTTTATGTGTGTTGGTAGGATGTAAATGCGATAACTCTTACAATCGTGGAATTTGTTTTTTCCTCATGAGTTCTTTTTCACACCAAATTTGTTTTCTCTTTTAACTTAATTAGTGACAGCGGTTAGTTGATCATTTATCAATTAATAATTTTAATATGGTA